TGAGGTGCCCGAAGTCGAAACTGAGGTAGCTACAGTTCGCACCAGACCGCCATGCGACGATACTAACGACGACACAGCATCTCGGCTTCAAGGTCCTCAACCAGGGCAAACAGGGCCCCAAGAAGGTCAAGATCCTGCCCCGGCCATGGCCCGCCGATAATCTGCCACCTGCGTGCGCAAACCTCCTCTCCGTCGCCTCCAAGCCCGCCCTTCTCGCTGCTGCCGGCCCCAACATCCTCGTCATCGCGTCCACAGACTCCGTGCGCAGCGCCTTCCAGAACAAGACCATAGCCGATGACATCGCAAACGCCGATGACCCGCGTCTCGAAGAGCGCGACATTGACGTCGTAGCAGACTTCACGCCCGATATCACCATCTCTACTCCCAACCTCCGCCATGTCGCTTTCTCCGCCGATGGAGATTTCTTGGTTACATCTGATGAGGCCGACGGCGGCGTCGCTGCGTACAATGTTGCGAGTGTCGTTAGCCAAGGCAAGAAAGACGCGGACACGAAACTGGCGACCGACGCACCCGTTCGCGCTCTCCTCCCAAACCCCTCCCCCGAATTCGAACAATACTTCGCCATAGTCCTCGATAACGGCAAGCTCGAGATATGCGATGTGGAGAAGGGCGTCAAGAAGACGATTCGAGAGGCACACGTCAACTGCGCCGCTTGGAGTGCGCGTGGAAAGGCTGTAGTCTCTGGCTCTATTGATGGCACCTGCGCTATACACATGACCGCTGGAGATCTAAGAGGTATTGTTCCTCGACCTCCAGACGTCGATGAAAACTACGAGGTGACCGGCGTGTCGTGGCTGAAAACTGAAGAATTCCTTGCTGTCTACTCTCTGAAGGACCAAGACCAGGACAACCCGGAGCAAAAGAAGTACAGCGTCATCAAATCGGCCAAGGGCTGGGGATCCTTCACGTACCATTCCTTTGTCTGGGATCCTCTTCCCGAGGCATTCGAAGCTCCACGTCGCCAACTACCTGCACGGATTTCGTCCACACGCCTACAAAACTGGAAGCCCGATCTCGACGACATGCTTATTATCACTTCCTCCCACGCAGACTCCATCGCGATACTTGCCTCCACAAGCAACAAGATCTCCCCGGATCAAGAAACCTGCAACGAGCTCATGATGGTCAACGTGGACGATACGAAGAAGGCTCAGGTGCCGCGAACCGCTTATGGAGACGAGGAAATGGACAGCGTCTTCATTGGCGAGGCGCTTGATCTTTCGAGCAAGGAGAAGATACTGCGCCCCATTCCCGCCCTGGAAGAGATCAACGAGGCGCCGTGGCCGCTCCCTGCATACATGGCTCTGACCCACGAAGGTCTTCTTGCGGCCTGGTGGGTGATGTGGAACAAATCTATCGAGGCTGGAGAACGCTACCCCGGTCTCATCTTCAAGAGCGAAGCCACACAGCATGCGCCTTCTTCTACTCCGAGGGCATCCACGCCTGCGTCCAAACTCCCGGTTGCTACATCTACCCCTTTCAGCAAGTCCATGGGCACACCCGGCACCCCAGGAACAGCTGGCATCCCCCACTTTGGCAACGCTGGAAACGGATTCGGTACACCAACTCCCGCTCTGATGAAACCCCAACCGCCCGGCTTTGGAACACCCGGATTCGGTACTGCTGCTACCAATTTGCCTGCTCCAACTTTCGGTAAACCTGCACAGCCTTCATTTGGTGCTCCATCTACAATCGGTAAGCCTCCTCAGCCAGCTTTTGGTGCTCCCTCTGCAATCGGCACTCCCGCCAAACCTGCCTTTGGCGCTCCTTCTGCAGTAGGTGCCGGCTCCGGATTCGGCGCAGTAGGTGGAATGGGCGGCAAAGCATCTCCATGGGGAGCGACATCTCAAACTTCAGAGTCAAAATCCAACCCATTCTCGGCCGCTGCTGGTGGTTCGTCAGGATTCGCCCAATTCAAAAGTGCTGGAGGATCAAACTCCTTTTCGAGCTTTGGAAGCAACAACTCTGCACAAGCAGGCTCCGGGTTCGGAGCACTCGGGCAAGGGCAGCAGAAATCTGGCTTTGGAGGTCTGAAGACAGAGCCAAGCTTTGGTTCTACTGTCACCGTTGGCTCTGGGACTGGATCTTCGCTACCCTCCTGGGCGACTACGCCCGCTCAGCAAAGCAGCTCGATCTTTGGACAGCAAGACAAGTCATCGTTCAACACGGCCTCGTTCGAGTCGAAGGACTCCGATGCGAGCGAGGCAAACGACCGAAAGAGGGACGAAGCTACACCTACACCACAAGCTCAGCCGTCCCAAGGCTTGTTCGGCCTTGCAGGTGGCTTCAAGCTCGGCACTACTTTTGCAAGTGACGGTATAGCTAAGGACGATCCAGCGAAGCCTGCGGCTCCTGCCAACGGTTCCTTCTTCGGCAGTGACTTCTCCAACATGCTAGGAAAGACAGGGATGAAGCCGCCCGCAACCCCAGCGAGCGAAAACCCCCCAAGTTGGGTCTCCACGACACCAGCATCCCCGCCAAAGCAGAAGTCGTTATTCCCCAGTGACACTCCTGCAAGGGAGAGCGCAACCCCCAAGGCTGCACCACCTGTGCAAGAGCCCGCTACTCCGGTGGACGACGCACCTTTGCCACCAGACTTCACCAAGGCTAAGCCGGCGAAAACTGAGGACGCACCTCTACCTCCAGATTTCATCAACACAAAGTTGCCGAATTCGACTAGCGACGATTTGCCTCCGCTCGCTGGTAGTCCTGGCGTCGAGGTGGAAGCACCTAGTTCGTCTGGAGATGTATCTCCCATTGACAACGAAGACGAGGAAGAACATGATCACGACCATGACGACGAGAGCGAAGAGGATGATGATGAGGAAGGTTTCTCTGATGAGGAGGACGATGAGGAGGTTGAAGAAGTCGACGACACATACCCGCCAAACAAGACAACAAAGCCGCAAGCCGCGAAGGCGGGTACCTGGAGCTTCCAGGACAGTGTCAACCAGTCGCGGCAGTTCTTCCCCCCTGCACCGACTCCTCCCACAGTGAAGTCCGGCGCCACATCACAGTCCGGAAGCAGCGCTTCACCAGCCCAGCCTTCTTTGTTCGCTCAGGCCTCGAAACCTGCCGCCAACCAACCATCGTTCTCAGGCTCATCGCTGTTCGGTCAGCAACCGAACAAAGGCCCCTTCTCTGGTAAACCCGATCAGTCATCGATGCCTGCGAAACCGAACTTCCCGCCTCCGACGAACCGCGCCCAAGACCTTCGCTCGCCTAGTCCAGCTCGTTCGAGCTCAGCTTCTCGTCTCCGACGAGAACCTTTGGTCGCACCGGGTGCTTCATTGAGCTCATCCATGCAGGGGTCCAAGCCGCCCACGCCACAGCCACAGGTCTCCGATCTTGAAGATGAGGAGGACGAGCGGATACGCGCACAGCTTGCGCAGCCGATCGAGCCGAGCCGGAACCTGGAGGAGTTTGTCGCATACCAGAACTACACTGGTGGCAAATCACCTAGCAAGACGGGTCACGCCGCTCAGATCGAGTTGATTTACAAAGACATCAACGGTATGGTGGATGCACTTGGCTGGAACGCTCGATCTATCAAGTCGTTTACACAATACCACCTACAGCCCCAGACTGGTCACCAAATCGATCGACGTATGCTGGATGATGTCCAAGACCAGGGACCTCACGGCTCATGGTTCGAGAACTTCACTTTGTGCGAGATTCAAGCCTTGCGATCTCTTGAAGATCAGCTTGAACAAGAGCTGGATGCAGGGCGGGTACAGGATGTGCTCCTCAAGCTCACACAGCTCGCTCGTCTTCTTCACGACAAGGCCAAGCTCATGACTCGTCTTAATGACATACGCCGCCAAATCATCAATCGCAAGGACCCCGAAAAGACAGAAGCTCTCCGAAAGGCACCATTGCCAAAGGAGCTTGCCGATGGACAGAAGGCTCTGCGCAACGACTATGCTCAGCTTTTGACGTCGCTACGCAAGGCTGAAGATGCAGTCGCAGTCCTACGCTCGCGTCTGGTGTCCCACAACGCACAGAACGGCAGCACAAAGTCAGTGCCTTCCATGGAGGCTGTCAAGAAGACAGTCCTCAGGTTGGCCAATCTTGCTGAGCAGAAGAACAACGACATCCTCGTCCTAGAGGCCCAATTGCGCAAGATCGGCCTCGCAGACTCCAGTCGTCCTTCCTCATCTTCATCACGCAACGCTGGTACGCCCCGACGGTCACGCGGTACGGATCTCCGCCGCAGCATTGCCGATACGCCTTACGCCACCCCGCCTACCAACCGCAACAAGATGACCCTGACCGATCTAAGCCGTCGTGCTCTAACTCCCGAAGTTGAGAGTACGCCTACGCCCAGCAAGGGCTATGGCCTGTTTTACACACCCGAAGGCAGTCCGACATCGGGCAAGGAGATCGCGCGTTTGAGCGACCTGGTTGACGACAATATTGATAGCTTGCGACAGACCGCCAGGACAAGGAAGCAGGTCGCTAAGGGTCTTAAGAATGCCCTTCTCGACCGTGGGATCAAGGTCACAAAGGTCAATTGAGTAGTACATTCTGTCGATATCGGTGTTGGATTATGATTGTGTATGATTAAGCGTACTTGTTATTTGGGACGTTTGGATAGCGATTGCATGCATGGGGGGTCGAAAAGGAAAATGTAATACATCTTGCATAGATAGAGCATGGGGAAGCGTGAATATTGATTGGCCTTGATTAGCTCACTGACTGACGGTGACTCCTTCCAACTCTCCCGCGGTTACTTTCACTCTTGCTCTCTCTTTCCTTGGCGGTCTGTAAACGCGTCGCGAACCCCACAGCGCGTCCAAAACCGGAACACAGCTTTGCTGCTGCAACTGCCGTGCTCTCAAACTGTCGAGATTGTGACAACACAAACTACTGCATCTTGCTAATACCGCTTGTACATTCGAACGTCCCTCCGTTCGAATGCAGCACCTATAGGTCACGCGACGTTCCCAGCAGCACCTGTTTAGGTAGTCCGCACGGAGATGGCTCCCGCACTTCCCACGCAAGACTACTACGTCACCTTGGGGGTGCGACCTTCTGCGCTGTACGGCGAGATCAAGACGTCATACCGCCGCCTCGCACTATTGCATCACCCGGACAAGAACATCGGATCTCAACATGCGACCGCGACGATTCAGCTTGTGCGGAGAGGCCACCGTGCTTTGACGAGTGAGCCGTACTAACGTCGGGCACAGATCAACGCAGCATGGGAAGTACTCAAAGATGCGACTAAGAGGAGCGAATACGATCGCAACCGTCAACAACGAACTGCTTCATCCTCAGGCAGTCAACCTTACGCTCCATCTCCAGCCACATCACAGCCAAACCCTCAGCCGCACCCGCAAAACGAGACACCAGCGCAAAGGGAAGCGCGTGCACAAGCAGAGAGCAACCGGATACGACAAGAGTGGCTAAACTATGAGAGATCTCAGAAAGAGCAGATTCGTCAATGTCGTAACACTGTCAAGTCTCTTGAAGCCGAACTCGAGTGCCTGAACAGGAATGTCTTTGAGAATCGAGCAAAGCTAGCAAACGACAATCAGTCGGAAGCGGGCACATTGGCCTTCTTGAGCAACAGACTGAGTGAACAAGAGAAGAGCGACATCACGTTAGCCACAATCAACGCGGAGAACGCCATTCGGATCAAGCAGATACGCCTAGACGAAGCAAGGGTACGGCTCGAACAGCTGAACGATGACCTCACGAAACGAAAAAATCAAGAACGCGAAAGGCTTGTGGCTGAGCTGGCTGAGAAGGCGAGGAAAGAACGGCTTGCGAAAGAAAAGGCTGAACAGGCCCGACAGTGGGAACAGACAAGACAAGCATGGGAGGCTGAACAACGTGCTGAAAAGGAGTCCCGAAAAGCACGAAAGAAAGCGAAGCGAGAAGCAGAACAAAAAGCAAGACAGGCAGCAGAACAAAAAGCAGGATGGGAGGCAGCAAAGAAAGCAGCAAGAGAAGCAGAGGAGTATGCGAGAGAGGAAGCAGAGTACTGGGCGACGCAGAAAGAAGAGCGTCGCATGAGAGAGGAAGCAGAGTATTGGGCGAGAAAAGAAGCAGAGGAGTATGCGAGACAAGAAGAAAAGTATCGTGCGAGAGAGGAAGCAGAACGTCGTACGAGAGAGCAAGCGGAGCTTCGTGCAAGACGGAAAGCAGAGCATCGTGCGAGGCAAGAAGCAGCTCACCGTGCAAGACAAGAGGAATCGAGGAAGCGCGCGGCAAAGGAACATGCAGCAAAGCAGTACGAGGCCACAGCAGCAGAACGATCACGAGCGAGGAGATCCAACTGTGACCATGATACGTTGTGGATTAGGGTTGAAGGCCAGCATACTTGCGCATTCTGTATTCGAATACTCGACGAGTTCTCAAGGCAATGTTTCGGTTGCGGTACCAAAGCATGTGTCACCTGTGCGCAAAAATTGAAAGGCGGAGGCGACACATGTGTACGAAGATGACGGGACTGCGCAGGGTTGAGAGGAGCTCTTCTTCTGGTGTGATGGTAGTGTTGATACCTTGGGGAGCTGTTATAACAAGCATGGCTGGAACTGAGAAGCAATCTGGGTGTGGGATGGAAAGTACTTGGGCGTGGATAAGGTTGGAGGTCAAGTTGCGATACCTAGGTTCGCTTACCAAATGCTGCTGCAGGCTCTCGGGTTGCTACCATGTCAGTTGTATATGAATCTCAGGACGCGGAAGGATTGGGTGGAATATCGGAAGGGCCTCGATCGTGTCTGGTTCCGCTTTGTTACCCCACTTTCGGCCCTTCCCTACGTCAAGCTTGGTGTGGGGCAAACAGCTCATCGTATGCATGTAGCAAGATGCGACAGAACAACACCATAGCTCTACTTCTTCATTGCCTCATTGTCTGACTTCTTACTATTGTCCTACCTCCTCTATTTCAATCCCCACCACTCAAACCACCAACCACAACATCCATACAAATTACATACCCAAAATGTCGGAAAACGCTACCGAGATTGTTTACATACCCATGAAACCCGGCCTCGATCTCTCAACGGGCGAAGCGAAAGAAACATGGGAGTCAACCCTCAGCACTATTGCCAAACAACCCGGTTCCAAAGCATTGTACTGGGGCCGACAGATCGAGAACCCAGATACCGTGCAAATGGCCGTGGGTACGTAACCCTTCATGTCTTATCCGATAGATCGCTGCGCCATCGGTTTCACTTTGCACGTTTGCTGACCAAATGTAGAATGGGAATCCATCGAGGACCATAGAACATTCGAAAAGACCCCAGGCTACCAACCTTTCCTGGCAACAATCATGGAAAAACTTGCATCTGGCGACGACCCAACAATCTTCCACGTCAACTTTCCCACTTCGCACTCTGGAGGCGAGAATCCGTTCACTATGCCCGTCACCGAGTGCATAAACGCCTTCTTCGCCCCCGACTACTCACAAGAGGAATACAGCTCCCAGTTCTCTACTTTCCGCTCCATCGCAACCGAGATACCTAATGCTGAGACCAAAGGAGTGATTGGTGGATGGAGCGTTGAACTGCATCAGCACGAGAGTTTGGGTGAGGGTGTCGATGGGAAGTTGTTTGCGGCGTTTTTCGGATGGCCGAGTGTAGAGGCGCATATGGAGTTTCGTAAGACTGAGGACTTTGGGAAACTTATTCCGTATCTGAGGGGCGGGCCGAAGGGGCTGAAGGTTTGGCATGTTGCGTTCCAACAGTACAAGTAGATAACCACGCTCCCTTTCCTGATACTTCAAATTCGATCCTGAAACAAGTGGCTAAAAGGATGTTGCGTATGTTGTAAGCCTTCGTGTGGTAAATTAAACTTTTCTGGGTATATCTACGACGTAGCGCTAAGTCCACGTCGATTGTTGTCATCTGCTCCCAAACGCCCGAATCCTTCAATTACTCCGATCCATGCATTTCTCATTCGCTCATGACATGCCCTTGGGCGGGAAGCTAGACTCCTTCTTGAACCCCTCCTTTGAGATTCTGGAAAACTTGAGCGTGGCCAGCTGAGCCCACTCGCCGTTCCACTCTTTCAGCTTCTTCAAATTGAGTTCGTCCTCAAGATCCGGTACCCAGAAGCCAGCGGCATACTCGTCTCGCTCGGTGTTCTGGTGGATCTCCAACAAATTTTGACGCGTGCTTGCTGGTCGTCCCGGACGACGAGCTGCCTTCAGTTGGGCCAGCTCTTCGTCATCGCGACCTAAGTAATCCTCAATCATGGCCTGGATCTCCGGTACGCTGAGTGGTGCAACATGCTCTGCGGTATATGATTGGAACGATTTGACTCTATTAACTATCACTAGTTAGCGATAATACAGTCAATCGATTACAAACATAACGCATACCGTATGTTCGATTTTGATCTTTTCGTTGTCTGAAAACGCGATTGAGCTTTTCGTCTCTCTGGGCTGCGCTCTGTAATCGCTTGGTATCCCGGCTGCCCTCGTGCAGGTTGGGATTCTTTCCCTTCTTCTTCGTAATCTTCTTGTGCACCTTGTCGAGACGATTGCTGACCATTTTGAAAGTTTGACGTTTTGTTTGGTGTTGGTGTCTGCGCAAGAAATTTTGGATATCCATCGGCGCTCGGCGATGGCGACCACGCTAGCCGTCGGACGCGGACTAGTGCATATGTTAGCGGGGCGCGTTCCTGTCATCTCGTGTACCCGCGATCAATGACTGCTCCACACTATCGATGTGAACGCGCTCCCTTTTCTTTTTCGCTTGATTCGCAGTGCATAAGGGCGTTTCTCCTCTCGTCACCAGACTGCGAAACCATCATGTTGCGGTAGCTGTTGCTTCTCTGCCCGTTGTATAGGACGGACGCGTGAGCGGCAAAGGGTACAAGATGGGCATCTCAGGTGGGTACACCCAATCATCCCGTCTACAATACTGACAGCCGAACAGGCCTCCTTCCGCTACTCAAGTCGGTTCAGCAACCATGTACTCTCAAGAAATACGCCGGCAAGACGATAGGCGTCGACACGTATGGCTGGCTCCACCGCGCTACCGCGACCTGTGCGATTGACCTGGCGCTCGAGAAGCCGACGACTAAGTATGCGTTGATGCGTCCATGGACGACGAGCATTTGCTGACCTTAATCCCTAGATATGTCGACTTCGTCATGCACCGCGTCCGCATGCTCATCCACTTCGGCGTCACCCCCTACCTAGTATTCGACGGAGACAACCTACCGAGCAAAGCTGGCACAGAGAAAGATCGAAGGGAGCGAAGAAAGGAGGGCAAGAGGCTCGGGCTGGAACTCCTCAAGGTCGGAAAGACAGCCCAGGCGCAACAGGAATTGCAGAAGAGCGTGGACGTGACACCGGAAATGGCGCGGATGGTCATCGAAGAACTGAAGCAGCACAACATCGAGTACGTCGTCGCGCCTTACGAAGCTGATTCGCAGCTCGCATACCTGGAGCGGAAGGGTATAATCCATGGGGTCTTGTCCGAGGACTCCGATCTGCTCGTCTTTGGCGTCAAGTGCCTGATAACAAAGCTGGACAAATACGGAGAATGCATCGAGGTCAACCGGAATCACTTCACTGCCTGCAGGGAGGTCAGCTTTGTGGGATGGTCTGACGCCGACTTCCGAAGAATGTGCATCCTGAGCGGTTGCGATTATCTCTCAGGTATTGGTGGACTTGGCCTGAAGACTGCCCATCGAATGTTGCGGAAACACAAGACTGTCGATCGTCTCGTCAAAGCTGCGCAATATGACGGCAAGCTCAAGGTGCCCGCTGGTTTCTTGGAGTTGTTCGACCAGGCTGAAAAAACCTTCCTTTACCAATGGGTCTACTGTCCGGTCGCCAAGCAGCTGGTCAATCTTACGCCACTGGATGAAGGGGTCGATCTCGCTGATATGCCTTACATCGGAGAGGAGGTACCTGCACACCTCGCCATGGGTGTTGCAAGTGGTGACCTATACCCACGCACAAAACTTCCCATGAACATCACCAGCAATAGTAGGCCTAGCGGAAAATCGTTTGGCCCCTCTCGGAGAGCTTCGACGATTGTTCAGACCCCCGACGCCAAAGGCTCAAAGCCGATTGATTCGTTCTTCAAGCCTAAGCGTACGCCGTTGGCCGAATTGTCGCCAAATGTTTTCACACCATCACCCAGCCAGCAAGTATTGCTGGAACAACAGAGAGAGTCAAATGGATGGGCCGCAGTACCGGCTCCAATCTCCCGTTTACGACCGAATCCTCCGACGCCTAGTACGGCGCCTCAACCACCACGACGCACCATGACCGATCCAACTGCGGGTAGACGTTCGGTTCCGCATCCTTCTAAGAGACAACGACTGTGCTCCGATTCTGTCTCCGAGACACTCGCCGCTGGCGACGAGGGTGTTGTGCGGAGCCAATTTTTCGCACCTTCTATACCAGAACCAAGCCCAACCTTACACCGAGAGAAGAGTAGGAGGAGGAAGACCGACCAGGACTTCGAGCTCTATTCTGATGACTCAATACAGGAGGTTATGGCCGAAGTGGCTGATTTAGAGCAAGCGGCGTCTGCCCCTAAGAAGAAGCTACGGGTCTTCAGTGATACACAGTCCAGCTTTAGGAGCGAATCACAGTCGACTGTCTTCTCCAGGGGCAGCACTGCGCAGTCACAAGATACTATCGGCACTCTTACGCCGGCATCTTCCCCCGAGCCCGAAACGGCCTTTAGCGCTGCAATCGCATCCACAATGAGTGAGCTGCGATCAAAGTTCACATACAAGTCTCCCTCACCAGCACCGGGTATGCCAAGAGCTAGTAAGAGCCGTCTGAACCGTCGGCACACTGAGGCATGGCAACCTACGCCGCCATCTCAAGCTTCTGCTCTTACAACCTTTTCGGCGCCCGATGAGGAACCCATCATCCCTGGAACACCGTCCAAGAAAGATGTAGACGTGAAACTTGCAGTCTCTGCTTGGGCGGCTGTAGAGGCCGAGGTAGTCATAGCCGCGAGCTCACCGCCTCCTATGACGCCTGCGAAGAGGAGGAGATCATCACTGAAGGGGAGCGAAGACCTCCTTGTTCCGGATAGCGAAGCCGAGAGCGAGTGCTCACCCCGAAAACCGTTGTTTAACCTTAAGCGATTTGCATTTGCTGGTTAGTCTCGTTTTGCATTGCGAGTATTTAGCCTATCATTACATGAGCGTACGACTTGCGGTGTTGTTGGCGTTTCTTGCGGCTCAGCGCGTTTTTGGTGTTTGCAAGGTTGTTACGATCACGACCATAGCAGGCGAAGGCACACGAAGTGTCATAACATGTATCTTCATTTGGTAGTATACCCTCAATACCTATGTGTTTTAATGACAGCTGGCTCGACTCTGCGCGTCTATGTGTAGCAGCTGGATGTGCCCAAGACCCTCTAACTCACAGACAAAGGCAGAGCAGTCGGCCCTCACGTTAGTTGACTTCTAACTCGCAACAGTGTCCTCGATCTTTGACGTCTCGGAACAAAGCATCTTCGCCATAATCACTTGGTGGATCTACTTCAACCTCTGTGGTTCTTTGGTATGGCTTTGTTCGCGACCATATCGGCCGCATGCGGCGGTCGACACAAGACAGGGCTATTTAGGTCGCGCCTAGTATCCCGTCTACGGTTCAAAATCACAAAGTCATTCGCCAATCTTCGGAACACAATTACTTTGTAATACCCAATCAAACTCACCACCAAGCCACTGCATTGATTCCAGCCCCAGGCAGTCGATAATCATCATCATGCCACCAAAAGTCATTGCCACCGCGGCTTCAACACGAGAGAGACGATCCGTGGTCCGAATAAATCTCAACGAGGATGTATTCCGAAAAGCTCAAGAGGACGCGGCCAGAGAAGCGGCCGCCAAGGAGGCGGCGCTGCGAAAGTCAAAGTCAAAGTCACCTTCACCCGATCTAAGTTTCAATCCGGGACCTAAGAAGGAGAAAGGCGCTAGGGCTATATGTGTTCGTGTGAAGAAGCCTAGAGCTACTGGCAAGAGCAAGACGGGGGCCAAGGAACAGGAAAAGAAAAACGTAAAGAAGACAAAGGGTGGCAGAGTAGCAAAGAATAGCGGAACCAAAGGCAGAAAGGTCAAGAAGGAGGAGGATGTGACTGTTCATGACTCGGACGACAGTGAGTTGGAAAGCGCCGAGAGTATCACGACAGCAGAACCTGCTGTGCCGGCTACGAAGAGAAAGCAGGCTACCAAGGCTAAGGGAAACCGGACTACCAAGACGAAAGCTACTACGACGAAAGAGAAGAAGAAGACTCCATCGCCCAAAAGAGAACGTGTTGTCAAATTCCGTACCATCAAAAAGTCACATTCGATTGAATCGTCTGGGGAGGAAGGCCGTGTTGAGAGTGATGATGAAGAGGATAGAGAGGATGATGAGGACGATGATATGGCATACGCGAATTGGGTATAGTAGATTGCTTGCTACAAACTAATGATCTATACCTAGGTAGATAGAAGACGATAGAGAAGGTTTTCCTAGCCATGATGCTGAGTTTTAACATGCAGTCGTATTGAGGGATCGGATAAGTGACGATAGTCTGATGCAGTACCAGGCTTCAATGAATGTCAGTGTTTCGGGAAACACGGAAAAACCTGCGAGGCTGAGCAGTGGGAAAGTGTCAGACCGGCTTTAGTCAAGCCTGGTAGCGACGAAGTCCTCGACAAAGTCCCAGGCAATGTGGTCTTCATCCTCGTCGTTCTCCTCGACCCATGCTTTCATAGTCATGTTGCGAGGAGTAGGGTGGACCCAGGTGCTGTTGAGTACAGTGTCGATTGCTAGAGGAATGTTAGCACTAGTAAACCAAGGGGAATAAGAACAAGACTTACGCAACAACACTTCCATACCACTAGCCATTCGGAATAGCGCAGCCTGTGCGATAGGCTCAAGCTCAGAGCGCTTCTTCGTTGCTGGCCGCACATCTGGACCGCCGTTTTTGTAGATTTGGGCAGTCTGGTTATTGATACATTGGCCGTGAGGGTCGCTGTACGCTTGACAGTATTGCACACCATTTGCGGCCGGATTGCCAAAGCCGACGATAAACTGGCAGGGTTGGCTGTTGCATGTGCCGGTGGTGTATTGTTGGATGATATTACCCTGACGATCGTTGTGCCTGTTGATGACACACTTGGTGACTTGACCACGCGCATCGGCATCAGAGGTACTGGCGAATGGATATTCGTCGCAGTTCTCGCCAGCACGTGGATTACCACCGCGCGTCTATAAGTGGATCAGCGAATCCTTTGGAAAGTTGATGCACTCATTCAAGGGAAATACTGAACACACTGGAGTCTACATCAAGATGAAAAAAATGCAAAGTAGATGATCCAACATCAACGTAGACGTCAGGGTGTTCAGTCCTTCTTTTGAAAGAAGTGGAGGGAGACTTACGCTGCAACGGTTGGGCCTAGGAAGACAGCCAGCTGATCTTTGACGGGCTCTTCCGATAGCACTGTCACGATTTCCAGTACCACCATAGCGGTCATAGTTCAGTGTTACTCCGAATGATGGTCGAGTGCAGTAAGCGCCCCAGCACATGTTGTTGCAAATATCTGAGCCAAGGTGAGTATAAAACGCTTTCAAGGATCCTGGGACGTTTACCTTGGAGATTGTCGCCACAGTTGAAGATCATGCCGGGTGCAGCGAGCCGGAGGCTATCAGACCCGAAACTAGGAGAGTCTTGAACATGATGGCTTGTGTAGTATGGTAAGCAAGTGTTTGAAGACGGCTGTTGTGTAGAATACATAATATCGAGGCTGCCTTCTATATACTCGTCCTGGCCCCCATTTACATGCCCATACCAACCCTGCCCAAGTATTGGGAGGCCTCTTCTGTACTCACAGCTGAACATAGTCGATGCAATCGTATGATCGAATTCTTGAACTAGTTTCAGATTCTTGCCAATGATCTGCAGAACCGCAGTTGGAGCCGCTTTGGGTAGAGATTACAAGGATGGGGCGGAAATTGATCTGCTTGTAGTTGTCGTATACGACGGCCTGAGATGGCGGGCTTAATCTCACCGGTATAGCAACTTGGACGCCGATTACCCGAAGGTTTGCTGCGAATAAGCCGTAACTCGGCATATATCTGCCTTGTCATCGAGATCATGGTCGAAACTGGCCAATGCCCTTGATTCCATGGTATTTAGTACAGCTGACAAACTTCACAGGTCAGCAGTAGTTGACTTAACCATGTCTACAAATGGTACGACCTTCGATTATAGGACTAAGTCGTCAGCATACTGAGACATTTTCATCGGACAGGCCGAGAGAAAGCGAACTTGTCATACATTACTGTCAAGACGTGCGGGAAGTAAGAGGCTGTAGATGAACGGGAAGGCTCGGCCCGCCAGTGAGATCTCCAATGACAGCCAATCTCTGACATCATACCTAGGTAGTGTGCAGCACCACACATAAGCTTGGTGCGACCCTGCCCCACTTGTGGCTTCTCATCGTACCTCGCATCATCGCCTTACGCCCGGCTGCGACGCTAAAATTTGAGCAACAATAGTGTACGCAGGGCCATCTCTGGTTACAAGGCTCGCCCCATTATAGCGCTCCTCGTCACGCATTCGCAGTTGCCTGAACTGACCCAGCTGGAAACTACGGCTGAGACGTGGTTTCTATCTACCCGTCCACCTCATCCAAACCAACTCTTTGCCCTCAATCAGACCACTCAACACAATATGTCTTCCACAAAGGACCTCGCGAAAACACTCCCTAAGAAAGCGCCGAATACAGAATACCACCGCGCCACACTGAATGGTCTAAATCGTTTCAAGTTTGCCATCTTCTACATAGCTGCTCTAGACACAGCAGACAGCCAACGGCTTGAAGAAAGCATCAACACGGGCGAGCTCAGTACGGGGAGGTCTAAATTCGCTCCGCAGCCAGACTTCAGCGGCCGCTCGTTGCGAGACGTTTACGACTACTTCATCGAGCTACGCGACCAAGACGATACCATTCATCCGCTCTACTTCATAGTAGCCGACCAAAAGGACTTCGACAACAAAGGAGTCTTAGTCGTTCTGCTCAACTCGAGCCAAGACGAGGAAGACGTTCCAGGCGTTGGACGTTGCAACAATGTCGAGGCGGACTCATGGGGTTCCAACATCGACATCGGTAACCAAGATTGGTTCGATCTGAAGGAACGGGAGGCTGAGGAGTGGGGTGGGGATGACCCGTATGCGGATGATGACGACAAAGATGACAAGGCAACGCAGGGGCCTGCCACTTCGGATGCGTCGCCCAAGAAAGTGTACGGGTGGTATAGCTTGGTACAAAAAGGTACCTAACGCATGTGCTCATGTACAAGACTTTGAACGTTAGCTAACTCTGCATAGCCGTACCCATCAGCTCCATGCTCGAGCCATCATGGGCCAAGATGAAGAAGACAGAAGAGTCTCGCTTACAGATGCTCGGGAACTGGTATTCTTCAAGCGATCCTTGGGCCGATATTCGCAGAGCACATCCACGACAATGTGCTTTCAGACCTACCGTCCATCGAAACATCATCCTGGTCGCAGAGAAAGAGGATGCTGATGATCCTGAGGGCATGGCTCTTGTTCGTTTGAAGTGGGATGGAAACACCGATGGCGTCGAAAATGCGAGCCCAGCGCTCATGCCGGAAGTTGAGATATTAGGCAAGATGAGCGCGGGCAAGGCTTTGGAAGAGGCCGATCGAGCGGCGCAATAACTCGACATATTGTCAGTAGCATCAACATGTGTGCCGGGATCACACGTTCCTGAACGAGCGTTGCAATCGACGAATGGTAGCTTATCCTATACTAGTAGCCATGTTTCTACATAATTGCATACGATGGCTGATAGTGTTTGATACGTGTTGGTTTCCATCAGCTTTCTCCATCTAACAATACGGTGCCTGAGTCGCCTTAGCCGGGTCGAACTATGATGTGTACCGTGATATTAACGTTAACGCTGCCGTCACATAGCAGCTTCCAAACGGTAAAAGCGACTACGTGATAAGATAATGCGTGTGCCTACCATAGAACCAACGCATAGGTCATGAAATGGAAGAAATGCCAAAGGCAGTCATCCTCCTCTAAAGGTTGGACGGTGTAGCCACGACGGTCTGACCGACAGCTTCAAGATAGCGATGTGGATCAGTGAGCCACGGCTTCTCGTCTGCCGGACGAGATTGCAGCGACGTGAAGAATGCCCATAGTAGGTCGTTCACGAAGTCTCCGTGCATTTCGGATGCCGGGTCTCGTAGCTTGTCCAACACAGTTGGCCGTGCTAAAATCCATATGTCAACCAGGAGATTCCTTATCAAATTCCCCTTAGATGTTCCAATATAGACCTCCTTCACCAGGCTGAGACTTGGATATCTCCCGGCACACGCGCGCTGCGTCATGCTTGATATGACTGCATTACGAAACGTGGTATCGAGCAACGTGATCCCTATGAGGAAGGCCCTCACTAAGGTTTGCCACACATGCTTTATGTCCGTTACGTGTTCCATCTGCTTCGTGTACAGCCAAGTGAGGTATGTTCTGAAGGTGGCCGCAGTATGACCGTCGATGCGGATTGATATCTGTTCGACGTCGATCGCGACGATACCGGCATCGTTTTTGAAGAAGTCCGAGGTCGCACACGCAAGCTTCTGGTGAACCTGAAAAGTCTCATCCTCGACTCGGACGGCGATTGTTGTGCCCGTGAAGCTAGGTTTTGTAAGTTAACGCCATTACCAGAGTTTTATAGACTCACTCAGGACCACTATGAACATTAGCTCTTTTTGGACGCTTTGCAGGGGAAGCCATCCTACCTGGGAACGAGTACAGTAAGTTCTTGCCTGGGGTGTTTACAACACGGTCTCCAGGTGACAGCATTGTGGACATAATGTTGCGCAAGCGTACCATGGTCGCTGCGAGCCAGTATTCGTCTCGTATTACAACACCACTTCAGCAACTCCGCCGTAGGCTAGAAGTACTGCACATCCCTTGTCTAAATTCGCAAGCCAGTATTGCTAGGCTTGACGCAGTACATTGGTAGGACGCCGACATGTCCGAACGATTCTGCGGCATCCTGCCATCCGAAAGATCGAAGGAGTGACCGGCGCATGTATCGTGAGTTCGGCAGGGTCCTCGAGTGTTGTGATTGCGCCATGTGAGCACCAAGGTCATAGTGGATTGGCGATTTTGCATCGCAACATTTGTGGAAGCATCAAGTGGTGCAAATATGACTCTCCATGCGCGAAACCATACGCGTTGAAGTGGGTGAATGGAAGCCCAGGATGGTAATCGCGGGATGACGCGTCTTCACGCGTTTGCCAAGCCGCTGCTGCACGTCATCGTGCTATCCAGCCGAAGCAAACTCCTGCGAAGGATAGGATGCCAGCTGCTGCATCTTTATATTCGCGCTGGTCTTGTAAGAAACTGCCCCAAGTTGCAGCCTATTCTAACAAAATGCCTTCTCACCATCATTCGTCTTGAGTTGCTCCAACTAGATACCGATCAGCCTGGGAGCTCGCCCATGGCTCCACCAACTCCTCTGGTGATGCATTGCGATGAGCAATTAACGCTGAAATTAGATGCTCCGAGAACTCCATGTAATCTGCCTCAGCGAAGTAATCTATGTCCTGCCATTCGGGTCGGCATTTCCACGTCCAGATATCTATCATCAAATCTCGACCAAGAATGTCCGGCGTATGCGCAAGACCCTCTGTCACGTCATATAAGCTTGCGACGAACGATATATTTGGGAAGCTTTCGATCCTTCGCGCGCACTCGATCATCCGACTGATCAGAACGTCTTGATAACGTGGATCACCAACTTTACGCGCGAGACCATATGAAGTCGGCAGCCAGTCCAGGTTCGACTCGGTATCCAGCTTTGGGTCCGCAATATGCTCCGGCAGCCGGCGGGTGTACAGCCATGTCATGTAGGTCTTGAAGTCTTCGGGTTTTGCTCTGAGATGTACCGTCCTGTCGCCATTGATCCAACACCCACCACGGAACTGATCATCGTTGTAAAGGACGGATTTCTGAACAGTAAAGATGTCACTTCCATCGTTAAAATCCGGCATCCCCACTTTCACAGTAATGGTATCGCTGGTGGGGCTATTGATGGTCAGTAAACGATGCGAGCTAGTTCTGCTCAACTCACTCTGGGTTGTATGGATTGTTACCCTTCCTGGAAGGTGTAAACATGAGGTTTGGACTATCTCCGGCCATTGGATTGGTAAGCAGAAAATGGTAATCAGCAGGTGGTGGCGTTTCAAGAATCTCGCAAGTGATACGGGTCGTCGTGCATGCACATTGACAAGAATACGCTCATATTAGTAGGTTGAGCCTATAAGCAGCTGACGTGCTGTCGGTGTTTGCCATGACATCACACGAAGTTGAGGAGACTACAAACCATCGTCAGGACATTATCATGCGAGCAGCACAATTTGTACCTAGACGTCTCTCTAGGTTTGCTAAGCCTGCAGAACAGAGCGGGTGGATTCGAATACCACGCCGACGGGAAAGCTACCTTCACCTACGTATTCACCTGCCGCATTAGTGTTATCGTTGCGATTTTTGGCTGAATCATCAAGTAAGAGTCAAGACCCGAAGGTGAAGGCGGATTGACCCACTGCTCTGGCGTCTCACATCCAAATAAAGCTTTTGTTTTCTTTGACACCTCAGCAAGTATCTTTCACAAAACAAACACCGAGCAATTTTTTGCACATCCCTCTACAACTCATAGTCATAAGACGACAGCCCCGCATGCCGTTGTTAGATCTGCCCTTGGAGATCTTCGAGGAAGTCCTGGCGGCTGTTGCAGAGGACGTCGAGCAGCGAAGTCTTCTACGACATCGACTCATCTGCAGTAAGTCCAATGAACGATCCAAATGCTTGAAGATATTGACAGCGAGCAGAAACGTTCGCAAACATCATCAAGAAACGTATCGTTGCGGCCGCTGTCCCAAAGGATCTCGCCAAGTTCCTGGATGACCGACTATCCACTCGCCTATTCGAACAACATGGTAGCGATGTTCTCTACGAGACTGCTATGCGTCCCGAGACTTTGAGGAACCAAGTCATACATTTCATCCGCGATTTAGTCAAGGCTTCCGAACCAGATTCTACACTTCGATCTAGACAGACCATGATCATATGCGTTAGCATTATGGCAGTCGAGCCAAAATACCTACGTGCCTATATCCAGGGTACTGATATTGTCAACAAAGAAAAATGGCCAGTTCCGCTCGCAGATATGTTGCCCGCTATTGCTGCCGCTTCAGGAGATATTGAGCTTTTCAAAAACCCGACTCTTACACCAGCCCTGCTTCTCAAGCAAAGCCATGATCTTCTGCCAAGTGCACTCAAAGCCGCAATTGCAGCAGACCAGTTCAATATGCTTGAGCGCATCCTCAAGTACCTCGTGGACAACGTCAAGGGCAAGCGCGACTCCGGCTCATGGAGGGACATGCGAAATGCCGCCAAGAAGATCGGCAGAGCGTTGTGTACGGCGATACGTCTGCATAAGAACATCGCCGGAAATATGTTGTTCGATTTCCGAGAAGAAAACAAGTTCTTCTCCACGTTTGCGCCTGACGAATTGGGCGACTGGCTCGTCAACGAAGCCTCTAGGTACGACAACACGGCTTTATTGTACCGCGTTTTGGAGGTCAACAACCCTGGGATTATGGCGCACGTCAAGAAAGGGACCAAGACGTATTACAGCCTTGATTCTCAATCCTTTGAGAGCCTATACCGAAGAGGTGGGATCAAGATCTGGAGTATGCTACTGGAAGATGGTGTCGTGGAACTCAACAAAGTCTGCTCGGACAAGACTCCACTTCAGCATGTCCTCAAGAGACGGCGACACGATATTGCCGGCCTTTTTATCAACAAAGGTGCATCGATTAACAGCATTACGAAGGATGGCAACAATATCCTATGGGAGGCCGCAAATGATGGGTACGAAAAAGATGTCAAGTTTCTACTCAGCCACGGCGCGGACCCCAGAGTTGTTGGGAGGAACAGAGACTCGGCAATTTCAGTTGCAACAATGCACGGATATGGCAAATGTCGTTTCTTGCTTGAGAAGGTAAGAGATCACGGGAAAGAGTATCTCGAGCGCACCGATCTATGGGCGGTATACGAAACCGAGGTGTTTGATGAACGCTGGGGCTTTTAGTCTAGATGACTCTCGGGCTGTTCGAGCAGCGACGTCGGGCATGAGGTCAAGATGATATTGGCTTGCCAGAACCAGCATGTATTGAGAGAGATGATGCGCCATGGGTAAACAAGGTATCCAGACTCAGGAAGGCAGAATACCGGCTTCATTGGTGTGTCCGTTTTGGGTGCTACAATGAGTGAGCGCTCGGAATTCCCGAGGTTTCTCTATTAGTCGAGCCTCAACACAAAAGCAATGCGCTCTTCAAAGATTCAGGCCCCTGTGTTATTAAGGAAGTGAGTGAAGGAATTACACGGACGAGGGCTGTGAGGGCTCACAGGTGCCCAGGTGATGATGGCCCAGACAGAAAGAAGTTCCAATTGAGTTTAGCAAAGCATACCCAGAATAGACTCGTGTGGAGCCGGAACGACTATCAAGCATCAAAACGCCGTGGTCTCATTGTAACCTTACACTGGATATCACAAATACAATGGATCGTACACAGTACCTTAGTACTTCTCCTCCAATCTCGCCGTCATACCGGTGACTGCTGTCATCCTACTTTCCTCGCGCTCCTTGATGTGTATCTCACGCTCCAATTCGCGCTGCACAGCCATCTTCTGCGCGGTGGTGAGCTGATCCAGAACCGCGGAGATGCCTTCTTCAGTCTGGCCGTTGAAAAGACCCTCCAAATCCGTCTTTGTAGCGATGGCGAGCTGGTCCTCCAATGCCTTCAGTGCTTTCGTACCGAGTTCCGAGACAGCTTTCTTGAACTTTGCCTCCTCATCTGCCTTGGCCTTCTTCGCTGCCTGGTCACGCTCATCGACATTGGCCTCGCCAGCTTTACGCTTTGAAGCCTTCAGAGCTTCCTTCTTTGCCTTGGCAGCGAGATAACGAGCCGAGTGTCCCAATGCGCGCCCATCCTTAGTCAGCGGCTGTTCGACGTTGAGCGGCGGCGCGGTGAAGAACAAGATGCGGCCCTTTTCGTCACGCTGGAACTGCTCGCGGATCTCAAGCGGTATACTGGCGTTTGCATGGTCGGCCATGACGTAGACCTCCACAGGCTGCGGGGCCTTGTAGTTAAGCGGCAGTTGCTGTGGATACGGTTGTTGGTAGCCTGGCGCGGCCCGCGGTGTCTGGAAACCTTGCATGGGCGCAGCTGGCTGGGGTGTAAAGGGCACATGTGGTGTGATAGGTTGGTAGGCAGGTGCTTGCGGTGCCTGCGGGTGCATATGAGGGGCGGGCGACTGAGAATGTGTATGGTAATGTGTCGCATGGGTTGGTGTGTACGCTGGCGCGACATGGTGCTGTTGCGGTGTAGGGGCAGGCATTGGAGTCAGAGTCGGCGCTTGCGCAATCGGATAGTTCCTCGAGGAGTCGTAGCCATGTGACGAAGCCGTGGGTAAGCTTGGAGTAGGCATAGCGGGTGCTGGTGGAGGTGTCGGAGGCGGCGGTGGGGTGGGCTCGGGAGGTGGTGAATCCTACAAGAACTGTTAGCTTTGGGTCTCATAGTGGCCTAGAGCAGTTTTCACTTACCTTGGGGTCACGCGGACGACGATGCACGGCGCCAATCTTTGGGGGAGCATTCTCAGCTCCCCACTCTGGCTTTGGAAGATCGTCGTCCTCCTTTTGCTCGTCCTTGAGCAAGTACGCGATCGGACTGGGCACCTTCTTCAACTTTCGAGGCGCATCGAATAGATCCATTACATAGTCCTTGTCTCGCACTTCGTCGGGCAAGCAACTGGCCCATGTCTTGATCTTGTTGAGCTTGTGGTTCTCCTCGTTGTATCGAGCCTCGCAAACATAGATCTCTTTGTCAGAAGGAAAGTCGCGGGGACGGCCCTTGTTGTAACGGGTGATAAACATTACGAAACATCGGTCCACGACCTCGTCGATACGGTGGTCTCGATATTGGCCAGTCTTGACAACTTCGTTTTCGAAAAAGTGTCGGTCGAAACGGTGCACAGTCTGCTCTGGGCGATAGTACCAGCAGGCATTCACCCACTGTCCACCATTCGCGTCCTGCCAAGTGCGGTAGATCTGGGCAACAATCGGCTTCGTGAGATCGTTCGCGTTCTGAATGTGCACCCAATCCCCGACCTTCCACAGCTCTCCGTTGTGAACGATGCCGCTGGGCATAGGGATGCGACCTTCTTCCATGACGTATTCAGTATCTGGCTTTTCCTTCTCGGCCTTTGCAACCTTGCGCGATTCCTTTTGGAGATGCACGGCGTCCTTGTAGATCTGGCTGTCCTCTTCGTTGTACTGCTTCGCGTTTTCGAACATGAGCTCTACATCCACCATGAAGTGATCGACGGAGTTGTACTTCTTTCGCTTGAGCTTGCGCTTGAGGATGTCCATGGCCATTGGATTCTTGATCTCAGAGTGATACTCGGGCATGACTGTCTTGTCCGGGACGCGCTCGAATGCGCTCACCATGAGCTTGTTGAGTTGGTTCCGCGGTTTCCTGATCGCTTTCATAATGGTCTTGATTCGTGCTTCCATAGGAGTGTCGACCCGCGGCGGTCGTCCGCGCTTCTTCCGCGATTCTGGATCGTCGGCCTTGGCGTCTTCCTTTGCTGCTCTTGAACCGCCTTCACGCTTGGTGATAGCTGCTGTGGAACGTGGTCCGCGGCGCCTCTTGCGCTTGCCCTCATCTTCTTCGTCCTCATCCTCTTCCTCGTCCACTTCGAGTTCTTCCTCATCGTCATCTTCCTCTTCCTCTTCTTCCTCCTCTGGTAACAGCGGGTCTTGTTCGGGAATCTCTCCCAAGAACGGCAGGGTGGCGACTGTCTCAGGAACGATCTTGTCGTCGACTAGCCTCTTCAGCTCGCGTTCGATGACCTTCTTTACTTCGAGCGCATCGACATATGCCTGCGAGTCCTGCCTGTTGTACACCTGCGCATTGTGGGGAATGAGCGCCAGGTCGCGTACGAACTCGGAAAAGTTCTTGTATTCTCGCTGCGCAATCTTGGCCTTTATCGTACTCAGGGCCATGGGCTCCTTGATGATATCGTAGTAGTCGGGCACGGCGCGCTTGTTCACTTTGCGCTGGAAGAGCTTGGTAGGGTCGTATGTTCCACTGCACGTTGATCAGCTGGGGACGGCATGGCGCATGTAGAATCGAAACTTACTCGTCAATCCTGTAGTCGTATACATTCTTGAGGAGGTTGGCCATGGCCTCCCATTCTGGCGCCGTGACGGTAGACGTTGCGCCGGCGGACTCAGCCGTCTCGGTCGTGGGCACCGGTGTCGAGCTTGGGGCGCGTCCGGTCGCCATGTCTGCGATAGTCGACTCGATGCTGTCGTGTTCCGGTATCCTTCTTGCGCTAGGTGTTGGCGTGTCGCGTCCTGGATGCTGGAAGTCGCGACGCCGGACGGAGGTAAGATTCGCCGATCCCCGGGGACGGCCGGCCTCCTCCATGATTCGGGAACCTTCACGTACGCCAGCCATGTCACCCGATCCGTGCAAACTGTCGTCTTTGTAGCGTTCTCCCGTAGCTGACAAACGATCCTTTCTTCCTAACAAAGCTCTCCCCATATTTGCGCATTCGTGAAGATTTACCTCTCTTCATACCAACTCACTCATCGCAGCTTCCCTAATACCAGCGCAGCTCTCCACCGCTAAGTCGCCCCACCAGTCAACTGTCATCACGCGCCACGCCTTCGAAGCTCCCTCACCTGTATCCCTCCGTACACGTATATCCCTCCATCTCTCCAGTCGACCCATCACACCATGCCGATTCGCATCCGGTTACGCGCGCCGAATGGCACCCATACACTATCACTCGACGACACCGCCGCCGTCTCGGACCTTCTCTCCTCTATCAGCGAAAAGACAGAACTACCACTCTTCGAGCTGAAATGGAACCACCCGCCCCAACCGCTCGACCCTTCCCTATACGGCATGTCGACGTTGCTGAAGGACATCGATCTCAAGCTGAATGGCGCATCCATCATAGTCATTGCACAAGCCACGGGCGACCCGAGTGAACGGAAGCAGGAGCAAGAACTACAGGCAAACACATCACAGGCGGCGCCGCTATCCCTTCAACGGAAGCAGAACTCAGCGCTCAAGGAAACGCCCGAAGTTCCCGTGCCTGACCGGGGTGGCACTATGGTCCTTCGAGTTATGCCTGACGACAACTCCTGCATGTTTCGAGCTGTCGGTAGCGCCGTTCTGACCGATTCTCTCGATTCCATGACTGAGCTTCGATCGATGGTTGCGCAAGCTATTCAAAGAGACCCGGAACAGTACAACGAGGCGATCCTGCAACGCTCTCCGGATGAGTACTGCAAATGGATATCGTACGCCGACTCGTGGGGTGGTGGCATCGAACTCAGCATCCTTTCCCAAGAGTTTGACATCGAGATCGCCAGTGTCAATGTTCAGGACAACCGGGTGGACCGATTCAACGAGGGCAGACCGCGGCGCTGTATCGTGGTGTATTCTGGTATCCATTACGACACGATCGCCTTCGTGCCCCAGGGTGCTTCCACGCAAGATCCTTCGCAAGATGTTAAGATATTCGATGCGGCGGACGATGTGATTCTTGAAGCTGCGAGGGAACTCTGCGGGCAGCTGAAGAAAGCCCACTATTACACCGATACACAGAAATTCGATCTGAAGTGCAACACGTGCGGTTGGAAAGGGGCTGGAGAACGGGGCGCGATGCAGCACGCAGCCGAAACGGGACATAGCGACTTCGGAGAGGCAGACTGATTGATTTCTTGATACCCGTGGACGCCTTTGGTATGTTGTGTACCATTAGCCATGTCAACATTGTATTTAACTTCTCTGTACTAGTAGGAATTACATTGATTGCAGTCTCTTTCGGCTCGCTGTTGATCACTATCAGTAACAGCGAAAACCCAAAATCTCGTTTGTATTTCACACCGAAAAGTGAAGAGATCTGTGGAAGCACATGTACCCAAACAGGGGGAGTTTTGTAGTTTTCAATGGTATTGAGACCAAGACATTCGGGGAATGGATTTCTCATTTCACGCAGTATTCTCTTTGGGCAAGCGCCGCGCTCAGGTTCTCACTTTGTCAGCAAATGATAACCTGAGATTCACTCTCTGCGTGGAAGCTCCTTATTAACGACCCGGAAGACCCGCTCCACACTCTCAACCCCACTATCATCACCATTCAACCGACCTCATCAAGCTATTCAACCATACTCCGCCTGTATACATTATGTCACTACGCGCGAAAACCCGGAGCTATGTTAACGACGACACAACTGCGCCATCTCCAGAGTGAGCAACTATTACTTACAATGAATTGGGCCCTACTGACTTCTCCTAGTGTCTCAGGCGCGCCAATCCCTATCAAAGTGGGCAGGAAGAAGTTCCACATCCACATCGGTACACTGACGGCGACATCTGATTTCTTCAAAAACGCCATGAAGCGAAGATGGCGCGCCAACGCAAAGAAACAAATTGACCTGGCGGACGAAGAACCAGAAGATTTTGAATCTTATGTCAATTGGCTCTACAGCAGAAAGGTCGCTGTCACTCGGCCTCTTGTGGGCAGGCACATCCAATTTGCTCATTTGTACGTTTTAGGCGAAAGACTCGTTGACGAGACCTTCCAGAACGCTGTTCTTTCTGCTATGATCGACCATGCAGTAGAAACAGACTCCTTTCCTCCAGAAGATGCTATCAACATCATCTATTCGGGTACCAGTAGTGCAAGCTCTCCAGCACGCCGACTTATGGTTGATATGTTTGTATACGGTTGCGATGAAGACTGGATGATTACAGGAAGTCTTATAGAGGAAACCAGCGTGGAGTTTGTGGACGACTTAGTGAGAGGCTTCATTCGTTCTTGTACGAAATATCCTATCAATCGGAAACTTAGTCCGTGGGTGGTGGCTCCTGAACAGTACCGTTTGAGGGCGGAACAGAACAACGGGAAAGAGGTTGGGAATGCGAAGGATGAATTGATGGACACTTCCGACTAAGAGCTATTATTACAACAACGTCGGAGAGGTCTATAGATACTTCATGGTCGGAAAGGTACCTCGAGATCAGGGCCAGGGCTTCTATGAGCGGTTCTAATAGGTCTTGGAGCAGGACGCTGTCAATAACTCAAAGAGTACTATCATGCACTATTGTCAAAATTTGACCCTAGCAATCGCCACTTTATTTTCAAATACATAGGTCCTCGAAGGCGCCGAGTGGAGTGCAGCCACTGAGCCCGACTCACACGGGTATGACAATCAGCTGCAAGAAGTTTGATTTAGTGAAGAGTGGTGAGATATGCGATACTATTCCGACGCGGAGTGCGATTAGATCCGCGGACCTTGAGGTCCAAGTAAGCTCACCACCCGACATACGGCCTGTTCACATGATGATAGTCCTCCGGCATCGTAGTCGTGACGGAAAATTTACGAAATCCCCATTTCTCCTCCATCTTTTTCGTCGCCCACCTCCACACCGGGTTGCACAAGCGATGTCTATACTCTTGGTTGCCGCCAAAAGCATCCTCTTCACTCTGATTCGTTGCGAATTGGAACTGCATGCCGTCGAGCCTGGGCATATCGATGATGCGATCGAGACCATACTTTGCGACAAACGTCTCAACGTCTTGCGCAAGACTCGCCTTCTCTTCCTCGAGGCTGCGTCCTTCGGGAAGATCGTAGTGCAAGCCAGTTTCTAAATAACACTCTTGCTCGTTGGTGTAATCGAACCTCTCCATGCGCACGCCATCTTCAATACTGGGGAAACTGAAAATGATATTGATGGATTCGAGCTGAATGAACTTGGAGATCAGTTCCAGGTGCGTGGCAGTGCCTTGCTCGGTCCAGTTGCAGATTGAGATATGCTTGACGTGCTTGGATGCTGCATCTTCAGGAAGATGAGAATACAGGTCCAAGAGCTGCTGTGACTCTCGAGTGTTCCATGAAAAGAGGTTCCGAGCAAGGAAAATCGGCGTGGCTTCGTTGAATAGTTGGCGGTTGGCTTGACACAAGGCTGGGAGGTCGTGGAAGAGCGCAATTTTGCTTGATGTCGTGATTGCAGCTCGATTTTTCAAAAAGGGCTCCGATTCTTCGAAGGTGTAAGTATATATTTGATCGCGCAGTTCGCGAGGAAGGCGCAGAAGTGGAGACGGTGGCGAGACTGCAAAGGACATCCTAAAGGGTCGAGATATTGAGAGGGCTGAAGAAGCGTATCGACCTTGGGATGGAAGAGGGCGGGATACTGGACTTCCAAGGTTATATGGTGCCGAGGGCGGAAGAATTCATGGGTAATATGAGAGAAAGGCGCGCTTTCCTCTTTCAGACAAATTCACACTCACTTTCACTACGCACCGTTGAGGATCGGCTTAGGCTGCAGCGTCCGTGCTCTATGCCTGTTCTGTCGCAATTTGGGTTCACTTTCCAATCGATACCTTGCAAACCACTGTCCTGCTTGACTAACCACTTCATTGCTGTTGCCTACTAACAAGGAGCGGGAAGCCTACAGCAAGATGGCTTCCCCAGACTCATGTGAAACAGCTGCATTTACCGTCAAGCTACCGAAGTGAATCGAAGCCTATGTCTTCTCACAATACAGACATCTAACGTCTTTAGTGTTTCGGGCGAGACTATCGCAGTCAAAGTCGGCCTCCAAATCGTCGACGTACACAAGGATCTCATCAGCAGCAGCTCCGAATACTTCAGAAAAGCCATTAGTCACGAGTCGATTTTATCTCACAGGTAAGATCTCGCTTTACGAAATACATACATATGAGACATTTACTGACTCCGTACGTGTACCTCTGCAGGTTCATCGATCTGTCCGACGAAAAGCCTCATGATTTCGACATATACTGTCAATGGCTATATACTCGAGTCCTTGACGCGAAACTAGACAATCACAATGGATTCAGTTACCTTGCTCGGATGTACGTCTTGGGAGAAAAGTTGATCGACCGCACATTCCAGAACGATGTCGTCGACGCCATAATCTACCGCCATATCACTGCGCGACTGAGTCAAAAGCCCCTGCGCTACAAAGTACCTGATCTGGAAGCTATCGGAATCATTTACAAGGGCGCTCCGAGGAAAGCCCCGGTGATACGTCTCCTGGTGGATCTGTGGGCTTTCAACATGGACTCCTCTTGGGTCACGAAGACGAGACTTCGAGCGCCAGAGAACAAACCTTTTCTGGATGACCTCTTACCGGCACTGTTAGACAGGCGAGGACTACCGGATGCTTCCCAAGCTAGGCCATGGATCTCGCAACGAAGTTTCTATTACAACAAGGGTGTCGTGATCAAAAGCGAAATGCCGGAAGACAGGGGCGGCGAGGCGATCTCTGAGCCTTCCATCAAGGATGAGCCTTCCACTGAGGAAGAGTCTTTCGTTAAGAACGAGCCTTACGTTGAGGATGGAACACACATCAAGGAAGAGCCTTCTATGCTAGATGAGCCCTTCATCAAGCAGGAGCCTTCTAGCGAGAAAGAGCTTTCCAGCGAGGAAGAATCTCCCAGCGAGGATGAGCGTTCCAACAAGACTGATCCTTCTGTCCAGGAGGAGGTGGACGTCATTGATGCATTCTGGGGCATGTAGGAGACTACATGTCTTGTATCCAGATCTCGCTACAAGTGATGATGTAATATAAAGTATACATAGTCCTCTGGGCTACTGAAAGTCAACAAAACGTATGGTGAATACCTCCAGGGTGAAATTTGATGCCAAGGTACGGCAACCTTCTGCGCGAAGAACGTCTGCTCAGGAACCTAACGATGAAGTCAATGTGCAATCTCCTCACCTGGAAAGCTAGACTAAAAGGCGGGGGACGGTACCTTGGTGAATGAGACATCGTTAGCGCGAAATCGGAGATACGTTCTCTCACCCACTTCCAAGATTCTGCGTCGTCAACAACCTCTCGTTCGTCCGTCAACGCATCTTTTCAACATCGGCTCAAGTCGTGGCTGTAAGTAAGTTCGAATCGACTTTTATGTCTCTCATAACTGACACCATGGCGTACAGATCGAAAATGCCCATCGTGAAGATTCCCGCGCGCACTCCAGACACCGCCATGATCGCCTTGATAGAGGCGGGAGACGACTTTGAGACACCCAACTTGAGAGGCGACATCGTCCCTATCCACGTCGGCAACACCCCGGAGACACTGTTGCATGTCCACAGCACTGCCTTGAGCAAGAGCTCCGAATTCTTCAAGAACGCGTTGAAACCGGAATGGCGCACAGATCATACCAAGCCCATCGACATGTCCGACGTGGATCCTGCCATCTTCGAAGGCTATTGCGGATGGTTGTACACCGGAAAAATCATGCATCGCGAGAACGATCAGGCTCATACATACCTCGCTAGTCTCTATGTACTTGGGGAACGGCTTATGGACGTTACACTCCAGAACAGCGTCGTCGCCGCTATCATTCGACACAGCCAAACCTCCAAGAAATACCCTGGAAATCTATCGATACAGATCATTTATGCTGGTACCTCCGCAAGCTCACCTGCCCGACGCTTACTGGTAGACTTTTGGGTCTTCCATGCGAAACCAGCATGGAAAGGACTTGAAGACTTGACCAAGCATACATGCTCCGATTTCGTCAACGATCTGGTTCGCAAGCTCGTTGAGCAGCGAGAGCCACCCGACGGCTTCGTCCCGAAGCCATGGGTCGCGGATCCTGAATCATACAAGACCAAGTAAAGTGACCTTACACTATAGCCTGGAGGTATTCACTGAGCTATGCGTTGACTTCCGACAAAGTATAGTGTAGCGAATACCTCCAGGGTGTACAGTATGGTTGAGAACAACTCAAAACATAACGAGACTGTCCGGTAAAAGGGAGAAGAACGCTGGAAATGATTCAAAGACAAGAAGGAACGTAGACTAGCAGGAAAGATGTATCTTCTCGCTTACTAGCTACCATAATTCATTTCTCAATACAGCCGAAGCAACGATATCATACAGTGGAAAACGCCAGAATCTTCTACCCATGTGAATGACTGACCCACTGTGTATGCTCCCAAACTCCAAGTCATATAAGTAAGCAATAGCAATAGTCTAGAAGCCAAAACCACCGGGGAAACCACCTGGGAATCCGCCGCCGCCCTGCTGGAACTTGAAGCTACCGCCGCCACCAGGGAAGCCACCACCTCCACCTTGTCTGAACATGAATTGTTGGCCTCCGAAGGGTGAGCCTTGGAAGGGATTGCCTTGTTGCTGCTCGTTGCTGTTGGGGTCGTCACCGCGGTCGAAACGTTCCTTGAGTTCGGGGTCGGAGAGGACTTCGTAGGCTTCGTTGACTTGGGACATCTTCTTCTGCGCATCCTCGGGTGTCATGTTGTTGGCCGAGGCCTTGTCGGGATGGTACATCTTGGTGAGCTTGCGGTATGCCTTCTTGATCTCGCGCTCGTCTGCGTCGCGCGTTACGCCGAGCACCTTGTAGTAATCCTTTGTCTTCGAGCGCTTGAGCAGTGTCTGCGCTTTGTGGTGTAGCTCGTCGAGCTTCTGGTTCTGGTGATGCTCTTTCGCGTGCTCTAGGGTCCGGACGCAGTCTTCGAATTCGTCGGCGTCGAGCTGGAATTGAGCCTTGTGAAGGAGGGCGTGTAACGAGTCGGGGTTGAGTTGTAGGGCTTCGGTACAGTATGGTGTACCCTTCTTTAGGTTGTTCATCTCGACGTAGGCTTCGCAGGTCATCTCTACGAGGGTCTGATAGAGACCTTGGGGTGAGTTGGCGTAGATGTAGCCTTGTTCGGTGTAGTCCTTGAAGTCTTGCTTGACCTCTTTCAACAGACCGGGTTCCTCCTCGCCGCGGTCGATGAGGAGTTTCGAGGCGGTGGCGAACTGGCGCTTCTCGAAGAACTTGCGCACTTTTTGGATGTCCTTGTCGAGTGTCTTTTCTCTTCTTCGCAGTTTCATGCAGACCTTGGAGTCTGGGTCTGACTGGAGACATTGTGCGATGTGCTTGAGTCCCTTGTCGGTTTCGCCCAGGGAGTAGAAGGCCATAGCGGAGCTCTGGAGATGGGGTTGGATATCGCCCTTGTTGATCTGGAGGAGATGCTGTAGGTCGCTGATGCCCTCGGCGACCTCGCCCTTCTCAAAGCGACACCTCGCTCTTGTCTTGCGGATGTCGTATGCTCCTCCTGCGACTAAGATGGCAGTTCCAGCATTCGAGATACACGCGTCCCAGTCGCGCTTCTCTGCCGCCTCCTGTGCCATGATGGCAGCGCCCTGTGCTTCTTCCAGCTCCGCGATCGCATCGGTCTTGCCGGCAGCCTCGTAGTCTTTGCGCGCCGCCGCCCAGTCGGCCTTCCTGGCGCGGATCTTGGCCCTCTGCACTAATGCGCCCTCGAAGCCAGGCTTCAGTTCCAGCACCTTGTCGAAGTCATGTTGGGCCTGCGCCGTTCGGCCGATTTGCAGGTAAGCGGCGCCGCGTCTGAAGTAGGTGAGGTAGTTGCGCGGGTCGCGGGTGATGGCGATGTCGAAGTAGAGAAGGGCGTCCTGGGTGTTGCCGGTAGCGAGTTGGACGCTGGCGTCCTTGATGAGCTGCGACACGGGAGTATCCGCGGGTATTTCCGAGGCGGAGAGTGCGCTGGCGAGCGGGAGGAGCCCGAGGGCAAGAGAGGATAGTCGGAGTATCATGGCGGGATGCGGTTGGAAGTGCTATGAATGAGTGACGGTAGGTTGGATGTTGAGCAAGCAGGAGTATAGTCCGCGCAGAGAAGCAACGGCAGGTGCGACGGTCAGTTCATGGAAAGAGCGGGTCGTGGCTTTATTTGGCCTTTCACTGTCGAACAATTGCAACTTGTCCTCAGCGACCAGCCGCATGATAGCCGGGACGCACTGACCCCCGCGACCCCCAGAACGCTAATGCGGGCAGGCATGGATTACGACATGCCCAGATGCATGCCCGTGAACGCCGCCGCTACGCCATCAGGACTAGACAGGCGCATACCTCATAGCTCCTCTTCGCACCCGCCTTGCGCACCTTTCCCTGTTCTTCTCATTCACTCTCCTCGTAACCGTCCACACGCCTGCCCCCAGTAATGTCTCCCATTCGGCTGCGTATCGACGGACGCATATTCCGAGACCCCCAGAACCGCGAAGTCACCCTGCACGGTATCAACTGTGCAGCCGACGCCAAGTTTCCTGCGAAGCCAGATCAGCCGTCACACATCCCAGACAACTTCTTCGACGGCGACAATGTCTCCTTTGTCAACCGACCCTTTTCGCTAGAAGACTCCGCGACACACTTCTCGCGATTACGTAGTTGGGGCTACAACACCATCCGCTATGTCTTCACGTGGGAAGCCATAGAGCACGCGGGCCCGGGCAAGTACGACGAGGAGTGGATAGACCACACCATTGCTCTCCTACGAAAGGCAAAAGAGTATGGATTCTACATCTTTATGGATCCTCACCAGGATGTTGTAGGTAGCATTCCAATAGATTCAGTTACTCCTTCTCTAATGCATCGCATAGTGGTCACGATTCTCTGGAGGTTCTGGCGCGCCCATGTGGACTCTCTATGCTTGCGGGCTGGACCCCGAGAACTTCGCCGTCACCGAAGCCGCCCTCGTGCACAACACATACCCCGACCCTGCCACTTTCCCTAAGATGATCTGGACCACCAACTACACACGATTAGTATGTCAGGTCATGTGGACACTGTTCTTTGGTGGAAGGGACTTTGCGCCCAAGGCCATCATAGACGGAAAGAATATCCAGGACTATCTCCAAGACCACTACAACGGGGCATGCGAGCACCTAGCGAAGCGGATACATCAAGCAGGCGACCTGTGGCACAACCCGATCGTTGGGTGGGAAAGCATGAACGAGCCCAACAGAGGCCTCATCAGCTACCAAGATATTACCCAGATCCCAAGCGAACAAAAACTCCAGAAGGGCACCTCGCCGACGGCTTGGCAGGCGATACTTACCGGATCGGGCAGAGCTTGCGAGATATCGACTTGGGAATTTGGCGGGCTGGGACCATACAAGAGTGGCTCGGCATTAGTGGACCCCGAGGGCACTATGGCATGGCTATCGAAAGATTACGACGACACCAAATACGGCTGGAAACGCGACCCGGGGTGGAAGTTGGGCGAATGCTTGTGGGCGCAACACGGTGTCTGGGACCCGGCGACTGACACGGTCTTGAAGAAGGACTACTTCGGAGTCGATCCCAAGAATGGGGCCAAGATTGACTACGAATACTTCACAAACCACTACTGGCTTCCGCACTACAGGGCGTACAGCAAGATGGTCAAGTCCATATTCCCGGACTCCTTGATGTTCTTCCAGCCGCCAGTGTTGGAGATACCGCCAAAGGTCAAGGGCACAGAAGACGATGACCCCAACATGATCTTCTCGCCGCATTTCTACGACGGCATCACTCTTATCACAAAGAAGTGGTATGTTCCAGAATACTGCTCTCACCTCATCTCATCTAATATCACACAGGAATCGCGTATGGAACGTTGACGTATTCGGTGTGTTGCGAGGAAAGTATCTCACGCCAGCGTTCGCCATAAAGATTGGCGAGAATGCCATCAGAAACTGCTTCTCCCACCAGCTCAAGGCGATCCGAGACGAAGGTACAGAGTACACGGGTGTCCACCCCTGTATCTTCACCGAGATCGGTATCCCATACGATATGGACGACAAGTATGCGTACAAGACAGGTAACTACAGCAGCCAGATAGCTGCTTTGGATGCCAATCACTTCGCGCTTGAAGACAGTAAAGCTAACGGCTTCGCCCTGTGGACCTATGTCGCAAATGTATGTTTGCATTCTGTCTAGAATTGGACACGGCTGACAAAGACCAGAACTGCCATTACTGGGGCGATCTCTGGAACGGAGAGGACCTCTCCATCTACTCAGTAGACGACAAGGCGGTTCCTGCAGGCCCCTTCTCGCCGGCCGATTCCCGCGCGTCGCTAGATAAGAATTCGCCCACGTTCTCGAGAGCACAATCGACCGATACCCTTAGCATTAACCCTTCCAACCTGCAGAAGACCATCACCGCAGAACGAATGAGCTCAAAGAAAGATGACGACGACGTTCGGGGTCTGCGAGCAGCAGAGGCCTTCATCCGTCCCACCCCCGTTGCCGTCCATGGAGACATTTCGTCGTACGGGTTCGACCTCAAGAACTGCACATTCAAGCTTGCCCTCTCTGCGCCAAGCTCGACATCGGAAGATTTCCCTACGGTCTGCTACCTGCCCGAGTTCCACTTTCCGTCAGGACAAACCAATGTCGAGGTCAGCGGTGGCAAGTGGACCATCACATCCGAGGAGACCGACGGCGCGCTGCAGCAGACGCTGCGGTGGTGGCACGCGGAAGGTGACCAGGTCATGACTGTCAAAGGCGTCGTGCGAAAGGCGGGAAGCGCGTTGGGCACGGAAGAAGATGAGGGATATCTCCAGCAGTGCCAAAAGCAGACTTGCGCTGTCATGTAATGTCGCAAAGTTGATGATGTCGGGGTTTGGTGTGGTGGGGTTTGACCAATCGATGCACGGTGATGCAATATCATGCGATGCTCAGGTCACGCAGTCAGCAGTTCTTGTGCATATGATCCATTTGGGCAAACATGGGCGTTGGACGACTTTATGTACTCGTCAAGGTGTTCGGGGAGCATTTACGATAGACTTATGATTTTGTATATAGCGATACATGTATTGGATATAGACTAGTTCGGAAGCGACGAGTCTAGTTCTGGCGGCAAAGCAGCTGACATCGCGTCGACGTGACGTGCCTTTGGGACTGCAGCCTGCAAAACGCGTCTGTGGAACGTGCGACGTGAATAGAGGCCTCGACTGCCTTGCTGGACCCTCGAAATAAAGCGTACCACGTCCCGGCCTGTGAGTCAATGAATCTGGGCTTACTCGCTACACCGCCATCTTCTCTGGTCTGTCCCAGACACCGGGCGCCAAAGCTTCCTTACCCACGATCCTTGCCCTCTACGTCTTCCGCTTTCAGCAACTTCCGCCCGAATCTTCGAAATCCAGAACACGACGCACACGACATTGCTACAATATCCCCGTGCAGTTCGCGCCAGACTCACTTGACCTCACGTCTTTGTATACCGAGGCTAGAGACGCCCTCTGCACGATGAACGTTGGGGCAGACCAGGCCCCGCAAACGAATGGCGGCGGTGGAGCGCAACACCGACAGTCCAACGGCAGCGGCGACTCAGACCTCTCACAGATATTAGAAGCGCTGCAGGCCATATACGCAACCTCGTCCACGAATGATACCCGCCGACAGGCAACCGAATACCTCGAGCAAGCGAAACGGCACCCGGAAGCGCCCTCACATGGTCACACGCTCGCACTCGACCGCTCGCAACCCGCGCCCCTCCGCTACTATGGCCTCACTATGCTGGAGCACTCGATAAAATACAGCTGGGAGGACTTCACAGAGGACCAAGGCACAGCGTTACGGGGCTATGCGATCGAGCTGGCACAAAACGTGTCCGAAGACGATGCCGCGTTCCTCAGGAACAAGGTCGCGCAGCTATGGACGGAAATTGCGAAGCGCAGTTGGGGCGCCGAGTGGCTGGATATGGACGAACTGCTGGTCTCGCTCTGGACAAGTTCTCTGCACCACCAGGCTGTCGTGCTCTACGTCCTGGAAACGCTTTCTGAGGAAGTCTTCAATCGCGAAGACCCTACGGCCGGCCTTCGAGGTAGCGACCTGGGTCGCGCCTGCGTCGAGATTTTCACACCGCTTGCCGTCATACAAGACCAGCTTCCTACACGCGAGAAGAGTCTGGATGTGCGGTGTGGAGACGAAGGATGGCTGAAGAGACTATGCGACAACTTGGGCTGGTGCTTGGGTCAGGACTACCAGAACCAGGAAGCTGTTAAGACAAGCGCTATCAAGTCTATGCAGGCCCTCAAGGCGGCCATGCCGTGGATCATGCCCAAGGCTATCGCTGCAACACAGGTCATCGAGGCCGTCTGCAAGGCGCTGGCTACCCCAGCCGTAGAGATGCAGATTGTATGTCGACTCTTTACATCCACTCACATGGACAGCTGCTAACACGAACAGGCCGCCGTCGAGACCCTCCAAGCGATCTACAACCGAACCCACCTGCACGACGACGAGTTTGTGGAGCTTGTATGCCCCATGTTCACACCTGGCAGTGTTTCACTCCTGCGAGAAGTATACAACTGGACGCTCACGGATATGGATGTGAATGACATAGATGATCAGAAATACATGCTCTGCAAGAGACTCTCAGAAGTAAGGCCCTTTCTTATCCTTCAGGCTTGTCGCACCGTGCTAATGATGACAGCTGGCCAACAGCCTCGGACTATTCATCGAGCAAAAGCCCCAATCGATACCAGATGGCAGCGACCTAACCGGCATATTCGGTTTCCTATACGATATCATGCGCAACCCGAGTCTCGTCGTCTCCATACCCGTTCTCCATTGTTGGACCAAGCTGTTACGATCTAGCATCGTGCGAGACTCTGATGTCGTCAACTCCATGGTTGGCGGGCTACTTGAGACGTGCTGCGCCCGACTCATTCGATACGAATCTTTACCCGAAGATACCGAAGACGTTACGTTACAATTTCTCAACGAAGACATTGATACAGTACCGGAACGTCATGCTTTTCTAGGCAACTATCGGCGCTTCTGTGCAGACGTGATCGAAGTCCTGGTTCGCAAGACACCAGTAGAGGCAATGGCGCATATCCTTGCTCAGGCGACGAACATGCTCCAGAACCTATACCATGATCAGCCTGCTTTCCAGCGCCAAAACTTCACAAAGAACTCTCCACAAGTCCTTCAGGTCGATGCGCAGGTCACTGTCATCGAAGCTGCACTCAAGGGGTACATGAAGTGGCAGCAAGGGCAAGGCGAAAACGCGCAAGATGATGAGCGGACGCGGAATACCCTGGAAGACTCGCTCGAGCAGTGGGGCAGGCAAATCCTGCAAGCGCATTTCGAAGATCCTGAAGTTGCGAGAAAGATAATATCTTTGATGGCAACTCTCTCAACAAAAGCCCTTGGCGACCGTCCAGGATTCGCTCTTACCTTCTTGGAGTATATGCTTACAGTACGGCTAGCCGATGACACGAATTATCCACAGTACTCCGATGCTGTGAAAGACCTCGAGCGCATATGCAGTCTTGAGATGCAGAAATTAGCGATGAAATTCGCTGACGACTTTATGAACGTCTACGAGCAACTAGAGGCCAAGGTCAATGAGATGATTAATGATCCTACGACTGACGAACGCCAACGTATGGCGTACTCCGCTTTCCTTTTCATCATCATACATAGATGTACAACATTAGAGCGCGCCACGCAAGAGGAGCGCATGAGACAGATGCTCACCCGTGTCAAGGATGCTTGGCGCAACGATGAGTTCACCCAAGCCATCTCTTCATTCCAGTCCTTCTGTGGCGTATTGGGAATGGGCCAATTACCCGAGTTTCTGTCTGCGAACAACTTCCGCGGCATTCAGGACTGGTCTGACCAACAATTGCCTAGTGATGGCCAGGCGTTGCAGGCCTCAATTCTTGACCGTTCTCAACAACTGCCACTACGACTTACAAAGACATTACTGGCAGCATCGACAGAAAAGCTTCGCGATGGCACTGCTGCGTACGAGACTGCTGCGCTACTCTGGGCAGAGGCCATACCAGTGCTGCTCCCAAACCTTCTCCAGCTCGTGAGCCATGCACAAGCATTCAACGATATCGACGCCAACTGGTCACACTTGCCAGTAGAACTACAGCAGGTTATTCGAAGAGTACTGACTGATCGGTTCTGGCAAGCGGGCATATCGACAGAGAGCCGAGACGACTTCTTTGCAAGAGTTAGTGGCTCCAAGTCGACGTTTGAGGGCTTTGCATCGACGGTACGAGGCACTGTAAGGCAGATTAGGGAGAGCTCGTACTACATCCTCTACTCGTTAACGCGATTTCGAGACTTCTTCTATGGAATAGAAGATCTGCCAGGCCCGTTGAGTCAAGCCCTGTTTGGCCACGCAGGCGCTCTGACTGCGCATCATCTATCTGTCTTACTAACCGTATCCACCCATCTCATTGAAGGTTGCCCAGCGCGTCTACGACCACATTTCCTGCCACCCATGATACAGGGGCTATTCAGAGAGCTGGATCGAAAAATCTCCGGAGAATGGAACGAGGTTGCCCGACAGGTGGCGGATTCGGGGCAGAACGACAACTTGACAGACGAGATGAAGACTGAGAGCATACTACGACAGCTCACATATGCTGCGGTTTCGCTTGTCGCTGTCCTGCTCGATTCGAGACAGGGTAAGTCGTCTATTATTTATTGTGCTTCGTGGTGTTTCTTTCGCGACTTCTATCTACGTGCGGGTATCGGTTCTAGTACCGAGTCTCTTGATCGTGTTTTATGACTAAAAGCTGACCTGGTCACAGAATTTGCCCGTCACGATGAACACAGTCGAAAAGAAGCCAACGCACCGCCCATGTGCGACTTCATTCTCTCAACGCCTGCCGTCCTTGAGCCTATCCTCCTCTTCTGCAACTCAACAATACGTTATCGCGATACTAGATCCGTTGTCACCATGGTTCGCGTATTGCGCACCCTGCTCCCACGGTTCAAGGAGAAGTCGCCCATTCGGGACTACTTCTGCAACGATATCCTCAAATCGGCCATCACGTCCCTCCACGAGCCGTACTTTGTGGACTGCCAAAAGGAACTCGCCTCACTCATCGCTGGTATTATCCATCTGGACGAGGATATACCGCGCTCAATTATTTTGTCTCTACCCGGCATGGGCGACCCGTATCGCGTCGACCGCCGTCTGGCAAAGCTCCGTGGAGCGAACAGGTCGGACGAACGTATGCAGCGCAGCATCGTACTCGATCTAATGAGCAGTATCAAGGGTGTCAGTATTCACGAGCAAGGCAAAATCCAGAGACCGACGAAGACCAAGGCCAGGACTGTCATGATGGAGCAGTACATGAGTGTGGACCAACAGCCGACTATAGTCCGAGGTACCAGCCCCGGATTGGCAGGTGTGGCAGACATGTTCGGAGAGTCGTAAGCTTCCATGGGAAGCGGGCGTGTATGATTCTTGATGGCGAAAGGACTTGCGGTGGAACCAAAGGGCATTGGGTATGGTAGCATGGTCATGGGGCGGGTGGATCACCAAAGCATTCTAGGACGAAGGGTAGGATATGGGACATCTGGTATGCATAGCATTCTAAGGTTGGTGTTGGCCTTGTTCTCGGTGATAGCTTCGAGGAAGCATCACGTGCTTGGCAACGGTCTTCGCCGCAGTTTTACTCTATGCATCCTATAGGAGAAGCATGTATCGAGAAACACATCACAATTCAGACGCATTGCGCTGACGCACGCTGATACGTTACTGCATCTCGCGACAACTGAACGTACCCCGCATTGCCGATGACCTGACCCCGCCGCTGTACTACTGCGTGCTTGCCGTTCCTCCCTATCTACCCAGAATAGAAGCAACCCGCGAGTCAGCACCTGCCTCTTTCTCTGTTCGTTTCTCCGTCACAACCACTTCTCATTTTCTAATCCTTGCCATCGACGAGATGAGCGGCATACCTATCGTCGACTTCGGCGCGTTCCTGCACGGCAAAGCAGAGGATCAGGAGAAGATCGCCAAGGAGATCGACGATGCATTCCGTAGTATGGGCTTTGTCTACCTGAAGAACCACGGCGTGAGGAAGGAGCTGCTGGAGGAGTGCTTTGCTTGGTCAAAGAAGTTCTTCGATCTACCGCTTGAGACCAAGATGCTGGCTCCGCATCCGCCGGGTGGCAGTCATCATCGTGGATACTCGGCGCCTGGAGTGGAGAAGGTTAGTCAAGGGGTTTATGATATCAATGAGCTGAACAAGCTGAGGGAGGTTAGTTGCATTCATATTCGCTCTCCATGGTCTGAATTAATGAGAGGCAGACGCCTGATTATAAAGAGTCCTTCGAGTCTGGTAACGTGAAAGATGAGGCTCAGCCAAATATCTGGCTTCCAGAAGATAAGCTTCTGGGCTTTCGCGCATTCATGGAGAAGTACTTTGTCGAGTGCGCCAGTCTAATCCACAGCATCCTCGACGCTCTCTCCATTGCTCTCAACGTTCCAGCACCAGGCCTCTCTCCAACCCATTCGCAGTCGCTCTTCCAACTCCGGCTTCTTCACTACCCCTCCATCGACGCCGAACAGCTACGCAACAATGAGCGCAGCAGGATCAACGCGCATTCCGACTTTGGCACGCTCACTTTGCTATTCCAGGACAACGTTGGAGGACTTGAAGTACAGGAACCTGCGAACCCAGGTACTTTCCGTGCTGCAGAGCCCATCGAGGACAATGTGTTGGTCAACATCGGAGATCTCATGGCGAGATGGAGCAACGATCGTTGGACAAGCAGTGTGCATCGTGTTGGCCTACCTCCGGTCCTTCAAAAGGTCACTGAAGACGGCAAACGGAACGACAGGGAGATAGTAGTACCAGATCGCTACTCAATTCCTGTGTTCGCGACACCAAATATGGATACAGTTATCGATGCGTTGCCAGGTTGTTGGGATGAAGAGAAGCCGAAGAAGTACGAGCCTGTAACCGCGTGGGGATACGTACAGATGCGGATGGCTGCGCTGTATGAGTCGTGAAGAGCGTGGGATGATCGCTGCCTTTTGTGGGAGAGATGCGTCTTGGTGAACCCTCCTCCAGAGCGACCTGTCGCATGGTGACACGCCGCATGCGGGCCTTTTTACGCGACTGTCGTACAGAACTAGGCAGCAGAGCCGAATTCTCTCACATCCACAATGGTTGCAGTTTGACTAAGCAGCACAGTACAATTACGTGCCTGTTATCAGCGGTCTGCTGTGGTTCAGATTCAAAGGTGAAAGGTAACCCCGCAACGCGCACGTGAGAACGCGTCGACGGGTTGTTCTTGCCCAATCCCTTAGCGCCATCCCCACTTCCCCAGTCAGCGAGCTCGCAGCGACCTGTAGCTTCCTGCCTCACATTGTCTACTCTTTTGCCTTAATTCGCGCGACTTCGGAGTGCCAATAAAGCTTATCACTCACACGTCTGGTGAGCCAGCCTTTCGAGGTAACACCGTCGTTCAAGATGGACATCTATATTCCGAAAGTAAGCTCACAGCAATACCTGAGCTAGTAACCGCTGGGCGCGAACAGGAAAGCAGTCGCTAACCAGATGCCGTAACATTAGGTTCCCAAAGACGCCAATCACGTCCTCCTACGTTACACCCTTCAGGACGCTCTCCACAGCGTTGACGTGTTCGCATTCGACGTTCGAAAGTTTTCCAGTCAACACAATGACTTCGCCATTCTCACTGTACCGAGCGTTAGCAGTGGGAATCGATTTCTGGATATACGCGGTAGTCAGGGCCGACGCCAGGCGCTGCAACCTCTTTATTTTGGAAATCAGCCGCTCGACTTTCGCCAAAGTAACAAGCGTCGGGAAGATCCGCTCCAACTCAAGTCACTCAGAGAGAAGCAAGAGATAGAAGAGGCCAAAAGATTCAAAAGTCCGACGCCTATCGCGAAACTTCAGCGTCCGGGAGGGTCGACATTGTCTTTCCGTACCCTGATGACAGGCGTCTGGGATTACGATCACCTTGGCAAGCTCGTCTTTGACCAGAAACTCAAGGACAAAAGGCAAGGTTACATTACGTTCGGCAAGAATGCTCTAGTGGTAGGTATATTCTTCTACATCGAACACGTCAATGTTAGTACGGATGCTTACCCCTACAGATTTACCTCCGGGCAGAAACCGCCGAAGCCTTCAACTGGCATTGCAGGATTGATATTGATTATGCTACTATAGAGCACATCGTTCCGTCTCGCGGCAATGGCCAACATGGAACGATAACATTCACCCTCAAGTCTCCACCGAAGTTCTACGACATTCAATCGACTAATGATCTACACTTGTATGCCGGTGAGCAAGCACCGAACGACATCTCTGCCGCATTGTCGAGACTCGGCATCAAGCCGCCAAAACCAGTTCTTCGGCTACAAAGACTATGCAAATTGAGTAAATCTCACGACATGAACTCCGCTTTGTGTATGGTCTACAAGATCGCCTTCTCCGACACCCGAAGCGTTGATCTTGCTTGGACCTTTGTTAAGCCCTTCTTCGCGGGACCTAACACAAAATGGATGAAGACCATGGAGCCCACCGCTTTGACGGGCAGTATTGAACACGAGTATGCAGTCGTCAACAAGATGCTTAGCGACTATGGACCATCCTTTCCGCAGACCTTCACGTTCAATATCCGTTACCAACTGACAGCGCTCATGCTAGAGGGTACAATCGCCCCGTGGAAGATGAAGGAACTGATACCGGTAGTACAAAATGCTGCTGAGAAGCATGGTGCAGAACTCACCGCGAACGCAGTTCGTCTCCTTGGGAAGCGGATACCAACGCCTACACCGGGGGTTAAGGCGGCAGATCTTACTTCAAACGCAGTCAGTCGCAGAGGAAAGCGAATACCAACGCCTGCACCAGCTGTTGAAGCGAAAAGCTTTATGATCAAGACCATTAAGCGCATTCTTGATGAAAGCATCGAATGTTGTCAACGTCTTGAAGAGCTTTCCCGGATCTGGGACGTCAAACAGAAGAAACAAAATCACCTCGCCTTAACATACAAGGCTACGGTCACACCTACCGGTATGTAGACTTCCAATACTGCAATTTGCAACACTAAAGTCATATTTTAGGTATCCTGCTACGCGGCCCTGACTGGGTCGTCTCCAATCGTATATTGAGGAAGTACAAAACCCACGCCCAGTTCTTCATGCGCGTGTTCTTCGCAGATGAGGACGAGCTGCCGGTATTCCATGACCCACGGGCATCGCAAGAGAGAGTCTACGAACGCTTTCGAGGCGTACTTCGAACGGGTATCACGGTCGCCGGACATACATTCCAATTTCTCGGCTTTTCCCATGCGTCACTCCGTACTCATGAAGCTTGGTTTATGGCTCCTTTCAAGGAAGATGATATTGTCGTCCGCGCAAGAGATGTGTAAGTACGTATGATTTGCGTGTGGGACTTGTACTGACTTCATTGAGCATTCGCGATTTGGGTGACTTTTCCCAGATTCGTTGCGCCGCAAAATGCGCGGCGAGGATAGGGCAGGCGTTCTCCGGTAGGGTTCAACTCGGTACGAAACGTATGTGAGATGTGTGCTGACATTGTACCTCGACATCTAGATACAACATTCTCGGTGCCAATCTCGAAAACCGCCTATGTAAACGAAATGAAGGACGACGTCACGAGAAACAACCGCACATTCAGTGACGGCTGCGGAACCTTGTCATTGAGCCTCTTCCAAAAAGTTTGGAACGCCTTCCAGCCGGACCGTAGAGCACTCAGGCCGACGGTGCTACAGATCCGGTTCAGAGGTGCGAAGGGCGTACTATCACTAGATACGACATTGCAAGGTGATCAACTGCACGCCCGAAAGAGTATGACCAAATACGTCGCCAAAGAAGAGTGGAGGGATTTGGAAATCTGTGGAGCTGCCTACAAGCCTCTCAGAGTATATCTGAACCACCAGTTCATCAAGATCCTTGAGGATTTACGTATACCTGCGGAAAACTTCATGGCGGTCCAGGATGAAGCTGTCACAGAACTGAAACTCATGACGGAGCATCCTCTGAATGCAGCCAGCCTTCTCGGTAAGTCCCGGTTTTCTAGCACATGCTGTGCGGCCTGAAAGGATGTTTGGTTCCTCATACTCGGCGGCATAGCCATGAACTGCTTCCCGAACGTATGGTCATATGTGCTAACAAGCCTGCTAGAATACTCCCACTCGGGTGATCTCGCGAGAGTCCCGTCACTGTTTCGGCGAATGAATGAAATGGGTCTATCATTCCACGCGGACAGCTTCCTCACCGACATCGTGGAAGTGGCAGCTATGTCAAGCCTGAGAGATATCAAATATCGCGCGCGTATTCCAATCAAGAACGGCTACCTCCTTTATGGCATCATGGACGAATGGAATATTCTGAAAGAGGGCGAGGTCTACATTCCGCTACAAGATTACGATACGAACGACAAACTGAAGAGAACCATACTCGTTGGCGAGCGAATAGTCATCACGAGAGCCCCTGCGCTACATCCAGGCGATATTCAGGTCGTCAAAGCAGTCGATGTTCCAGAAGGTTCGCCCCTCAGAGCACTGCACAACTGCGTCGTATTCTCACAGCAAGGTCCGCGGGATCTACCTTCGAAGCTAAGTGGCGGTGATCTTGATGGAGACTTGTTCCACATCATTCACGACACTCGACTGATTCCGAGAATCGTTTATCAACCCGCCGACTACCCATCCACGCCGGCAAAGGATTTGGGGCGGCCGGTAACTGCCGACGATATCGTTGACTTCTTTATCGAATACATGAACATGGATCGATTGGGACAAATTTCGAACAAACACAAGATTCGCGCTGATAAGGCTCCTTTTGGCACTCTAGATGCAGAGTGCCTGCTTCTTGCCAAGCTCGCATCCGATGCCGTCGACTTTGGAAAATCTGGGATTCCTGCCAAAATGGCTCAGATACCGCCAGGTTCTGATCACATTCGCCCTGACTTCATGGCGCCAGGATCGAACCTCATCGTCAACGACTTGGGCGCTGCTGAACTCGAGGAGCTTGAGGGTGACGAGCTCGACGAAGTGAGTGTGCTAAATGCTGAGAAACCAAGGAGTTCATACTACACAAGCACAAAGGTCCTAGGAGTTCTGTATCGGCGGATCGACGAAAAAACGTTCTTCGATAAGATGAAGAACGCCTACCGAACATCTCACCATCGCCGGGGTGATGAAACGCTGGTACAGAAGCTCAAGCGATATGTGATCCGAGAGACCCGTGGAGTACAATGGGAACACCATTGGGATTTCGCAGAACAACTCCGTGAAGCGTACGAAGAGAACATGTTCGAAATCATGGACACACACCGTCCGTCTCGAGGCTCACGTCTTACCGAGCTTGAGGTGTTTAGCGGTAACATCCTTGGCAAGAAAGATCGTGCACCATCCCGCTACGTCCGCGAGGCCAACCTCGAGGTTCAAGAACGCTTCAATCGCGATGTCAGCGACATGATCAAGAATATAGTAATGGGTGATGGAGACTGGGATGGCGATGCAGATTCGGAGGCGTTGCCGCGCTCCATTGCGTGCTTCATGGTCGCGCTGGAGACGGATGGCTGGGAGAACTACCGCACGTTGAGGAGCTGGAAGTACGTTGCTGCTGCGGTGTGCTTGGAGCAGTTGTGGAAGTACAACAATGGGTATTTGCGCCGACTTTGAGTAGTGGCGTAGTGCTACGTCTTGTACCGGCCTTCCGGCGGAGAGCTGCTCGGTTATCACGACTTCATGAAGATACCGCGCAAAAGATGCGCTGAATATACGGTGGTACCATTAATTTGATGAGTCCAACGTGTGATGCGATGCGATGCAATGCATGGGTGAGGAGTTGCTGAGGACACCTTCAGGGAGTACTGCGCAGGCCCCTTGCGCGCAAACTGCGCCCAAAGACCTAAGCGAATCAGCGTTTTGGCACGCACAGAAGCGGTTAAAGGGGCAAATGTTTGCCTCTCGCGTTAGAGAAATCACAGAACACGCTTGAGCGCTCTACGATGCTTTCCATGATTTCCGGATGTTTGTATGTCGTCGTTGCGTCTGATTCCAGCATGCCGCGCAGTCGCGCACGCGTTTTTGAAGTTTCCCACACCTGGGCATCAGCCAACTAAAATTCCCAGCCACAAAACCCAGCCATGCCATTTCATCCACAACCCTGCGCCCCCCGACTGGCTGACTGAGATCCGGTAAGCCCGGGTGCCCTCACCACATGGCACCACGAGCCTACCCCGCATCCTGCCCATTGGTGTTGGCCGCGTGATACTTGCTACCCAAGGGAAAACCCTCGCAAAACCATGATTTCAGGAAATATACATGCATGAATTGACCTTTGTCTCAACAAACACACATATCCATCTGCTTACGTCATGTGACGGTAACAGCAACATCTTCGATGGTCTAGTGGTCATGATTTCCGCTTGTCAAATGTTCACGAAGTGTTTACAAGCGCGGGAGACCGGGGTGTATGTACTGCCTATTCAGGAGTGTCTTCAGCTTTGCCTAATCTTGCAAACAGTCGATTCCCCGTCGGAGAGCTTATTAGCCACGCGCCTTTTTTTTTGGGAGAGGGGATGGAATGATGGGGGCGAGAGGTGCATGGCTTGGGTAACTTTTTGGGTAAAGATGCGGGGTTGGGCGATAGGGTGGTTGATCCCGATATCGTTAGGTTGTGATGATGCTACTACGTTTTTTGCATTGAAGGTACGGCTACAGCCTCGTCTGAGATATGTAGACATATTTCTGAATGCACAGGATGAACTGTTGCTTCCTGACCTGAGTGAACAGTATGTCGCCTCAACTTGCCGGGAAACCTGCTCGGGCCATCTTCTTGCCCCGTTGAGCCTTCCGATTATGGTTCGCACTTGAACCCTTGTTGGCCTCCTTGCGCTGCCGTGATATTTGCGTACCTTTGTCGTCAGCAGGACCTGCGACGCTGGCACCACCTCTCCCACCACCTGGGCCACCACGTCCGCGCCCTCTACCTCTTCCTCTACCGCCGCCGCCTCTTCCACCGCGACCTCCTTGCCCATCACCACTGGCTTCGTCGCCAGATCCTGCAGGGCTGTCTCGCCATGCTGTTGACTGAAGCTCTCGCTGCTGACCCTGGAAATTGGAAAACTTCGCTTCGAGCCGCCGCAGCGCGCGAGGATTGCGCCCCATCATGATGGCCCAGCCTTCAATTGCTTCGTCGGTCATACCAGTCTCGCTCTTGAGGGCTGTTCGTGCCTCTCCTCTTCTTATCTCTGACTCGCGGCCAAACAATTCAGGTGTCATGGTGTAAGCGCGGAATAGGGCTTCTTCATTCTTGTCACCCAAGTCGGCATCCTCGCCAGGTCCGTGCGCGGCGGTGTCGACAGATGCGCCGACGTCTTCTGCATCGTAAGTATCATCCCGCTCGTCATCGTCTGAATCGAAGGCAGCCAGCGCAGCCATGATTGCGGACTTGGCGGGCGCTTTACTGCGGTCAGACAAGATCTTATCGGCGGTCGAATCCTGACCTCTGCGGCCAATATGGAATCGCGATGTATCAACTGCAAGCCTGTCGAATTCGTCGTCATCAAAGACGTTGCGCCGTTCTGGAAGGTGTTGGCTTGATCTAGGCGGTGGCATAGGCTGTGACGATGTCGCCGGTGTGGGCCTAGCATGCGTTAGTATGTCTGACTGAAGCTATGGTGGCAGAAGCTCAAGAGGAAGTACTTACAGCTTCTCACTTCGATCAGCCTCAATAAGGTGTGGCGGTAACGAATCTTCCAAAAGATGTGCGGTAACCTGCTCGATGTCGTCGTTGTACTCATCCAAGCACTTGACAATGAAGCCTGCACCCAGGTCTGGAAAGAGATCCTGGATCTGGCTAATCATACTCATCCGGTGAACGTGTATCTCGCCGGTGAATGCTCCGTGGCCATAGCTATCTTGATCCGCTGCTGCTTTACCCTTGTCTACCTTTCGTCGAATCAACCTCTTTGGTCGAGCTAGACTAGATTGCCGGAATGCGCTCAATGATGCTGCAGTATTCTTCACTCTTGATGCTTCCGGAGCAGTAGCCTTCTCTCTGATCTTTTCCAGTAGTGGTGTGTTGGTGACAAGATCAGCAACCAGCGTCTTCTTCCCGGGCTCCTTCTTCTGGTCTTGCTCTTCACTAGATTTAAGGCTGTACAGATGATCCGAGAGCAACGAGTAATTCGACTTTGGTCCTTCTAATGCGGCTGTTAAGCCAAGATATGCAGTCGTGACCAGCTTCTTCTGCATTGATTGCGGTACTTGTGGGTATGCGGAGAGGAGGGAGTCAAGGAAGTCGGACCCAGTGAGCATGAATACGCTGGCATCTGACGAGGCTTTGAGAAGGGGTGCGACTCGATCAAGTGTCTTTTCGGCCTCCTCCGGTCGCTTTGATTCCAAGTTCCGGATCAGGGACGTTTTCGCTGTCTGCAACGACTTCTCAATTGCTGCACCTTTTCGCTTCCATGACCCTTGCAAGAGCGTACGGAACTGCTCGCTCTTGGGATACGCATGGCAGATGTCAGATAGGGTAGACCAGCTGAGCAAGGGATTGGGTATGTCTTCTTTGGAAAGAATTCTGTGTAATAAAAAGAAAGTCTTCTTCCGTAATGACGCAACTTTGGATGCTAGCTCATCGTCCAGGGCCAGTTCATGAAAGAAAGACAAGAGAAATTGCGTGAGAGAGCTCTCCTCTTTGGTCGCCTCCGAGAACTTTTGGTCCTCTAATCTCAGATAGAGCTCAGATAGCGAAGCCCACGAGTCCAGGTACAACTGCCATTCGTCGGGCAGTATGCTCTTTCTGACTTTTGCGTCTGGGAATGGCGCGAAGTGGGGTGGCGACATCTCTGTTGGTGATGTTCAAGACGAAATCCAGGGCCGAGCTCAGAGGTACAGTGCACTGTGTAAGGAACGCGAGGAGTCTTTAAAAGGTTCAATTTCTGTTGTTTGTCCGCAGTCATGCAGTCATGATGGCTCATGGGCCCGCCTGCCGAGCGATCAAAAGGGAGCGATACCAGTTACGGCACTAGCGTCCGCAATCTTGGCGCGCATCGCCCACACATCGAAAATGAGCATCGCGAAGAGCTTAACGACTTCGAACGCCGTCGCAAATTCTAACGCCACCCCAGTCATCACATTACCGCGATCAAGGATCCAGGTCGTGACTGGAATCTAACTCAGAACCTACAACAACACCACACTCCAATCCGACAAGATGTCTTACAACAAGGGCGAGAAGGACTTCGGCGAGGGCCCCAAGATCCACAAGGTACGTCGCCGTGTATTCTATGCGCACGAGGCTGTGTACTGACTGCGCTTCCAGATCCGCATCACCCTCACCTCCCGCAACGTCAAGAGCCTCGAGAAGGTCTGCCAGGAGCTCATCGACCGTGCCAAGAACAAGGAGCTCCGCGTCAAGGGCCCCGTCCGTCTGCCCACCAAGCACTTGAAGATCACCACCCGTAAGACTCCTTGCGGTGAGGGTTCCAAGACCTGGGACACCTACGAGATGCGCATCCACAAGCGTAAGTGCATACCACTCCAGACAGTCGGCCGGACAGCAGCTAACTGCGGACTTAGGCCTCATCGACCTCCACGCTCCCACCGAGGTTGTCAAGCAGATCATCATCAACATCGAGGCCGGTGTCGAGGTTGAGGTTACCATCGCCGCATAAGGGCTTGGTCCGCACAAGGATTATAAAGGAGTGTCAACGGTCTGAACAGACGTGTGGCTATGAAACAGCTCTCGAAGCTGGACATACACGAAATGAAATGATTCAGACATAATTGCGCATTGCATTGGGATGTGATTTCAACCGTGAGAGGCTACCCTGGGCTGGGAATGACAGCTGTCACTGTATGCAGTCCACGGAACAAAGAAAGCATAAGCTAGAGAGCCAGAAGGCGCCCGTATGGTCGATCAATACGTCCGACTGACAAGAGCCCACCGACAAGAGTTGCAGCCTTCTCGGACGGGAGTCTTATTGTCTGCATGTTCCACAAATCATTTACGTATAAAACGTGTACCCGCCACTCGTTAGCTCAACGACGATATCCCAACCTTCATCTGTGCCTTTCACAAGCCAGCACTCTCAGGAGGGCCGAGTAGAATTAGACCATCAAGAAGAATAACGCCGAGTGGTAAGTCGTCCCATCCCATCCTATCGCCCGCTTCGAAGTCTGCCACTATGGATAACAAAAGATTAGAGCTCTGCTTGGGTCATTTGCGCTCGAATTGCACATATTGAACTCACATCTGCTAAACCAAAACGCGATTTGGTGTCGTGGATGTCTTAAACAACCTACTAGACCATGCTCTCTTGCCAGGTCATCTAAAGCGTCCTTCAGCTTCGGACTTCTCATGTTTACATGTACTCCGTCGCCTTGAGGAAAGGCGTCTGGCTTATACATGGCTAGCAAGGCGACCTGGCGGTCTTCCGAGGATGCGAGATAGGTGGGCCTGGCTTCTACAAAAGCTGGGTCGCAACCTTCGTAGAACCATATGTCCCAGTCGCGCATAATACTGTGACATGATTCTTTTAGGTTATGGTCGGTCACAGACATCTTGAACTTGGGTAGACACGTAAGAAGTGGGACACAGCAAGTGCGGGATATATAGTCGTCTGTAAGTTCACGATAGCACGGCGTGCGGTGAACGCATGACTAGGTAGACAAACATTCCCATAGAGTGCGTCAAGGAACTGGAGGTCAGTTGACCCAATATATAGACTTCACGTGAGCCTGTGGATAGATGAACCTATCGCAGTTGAGCTTTGATAAAACGCTCCTCGTCGTACAGCTCGACATGTGCTTCTCTACTTATCCCCAAAGCCGGCTCGGGGCCAATACAAAAACGACAAAGGTTCGTTTGGTTACAACAATTGTGTAGTGCACAAGGAAAAGATGAGAGAGCAGGATAGCTGGAGACAGTCCGATAGTCTGCTGATGTTTTCATAGCTGGCAACAAACTATCAACGGCAACACTGATCGACCAAATATCCACCCCGCCCTAAGGTCCGCATGCCGACTACCTGTGACAAACAACCACCACTGTATAACACAGTTTGTAACTCTAGGAGTTTACCCTGAATTATTGGGAGTCGCGCCGGCAGCATTTCATACACCATTCACCATAATGAAATCAGTACCGCCCGGTGCATCATCCCATCCCAAATTCTCAGCAACGTGCGCGGTTGAATCGACTAAATGGAACAAAATGCGTTAGACTCATGTCTGGAATATGTAAGCCCAGACTCACATTTGGCAAACCAGAAGACCACTCTATGTCTCCAATCCTTCGCGGCACTGTCCGTGCCCAGTTCACTTGCTAGGCGTCTCAGAGCAGTGTAGAGGTCGTTATTGCGCATGTTCACGTCCTGGAACACTTCTTGCTGGGAAGGTTCCGCTGGCTTCCACATAGCTAACAAGGCTATCTCAAGTTCGCGGGAAGAGATAACGTTAGTCACTTTGTTGGCGATGCAGCAATCAGGGGCACTGTCGGGGAACCAGTCCTCCATTTCGTCCATGAGCTTTAAGCACGCTTCTTTGTGATACTGGTCGGGTGCTTGCATCTTGAAGGGCGGTGGAATTTGATAGAAGTATATATGGTACTGGGTACTGGAGTGGATAGTGTGATAGACTGATAAGTAGAGATGTGTGAGGAGCAGGAGAGAAGGCGCCGAATTTATAGTTTTGATCTATGAGTCTTCACTGACATGCTGTCATATAAAGTTATGACTATATGAGCATCCGCTTCAAGACGCTCCGAGCGACTGCACAAAGGTCTCCAACATGTAACCATGACTGGCTCATGAGTCCTCTTGAGCAGCTGAGGTTCACAGCTGGCTTCAGAGTCACCTGGGTTCTACAATCCATGACATCTTCAAAGCTTCTACGAACCTCATGCGCGCCCTGAGCTCAGAATCTGGATAGTGGTGTCAAATGGGGGAGATATGTATCCATAAACCTCATCAAAGGCTGCACGAATGTCAACGGCGAATAGGTGCCCGGAGGATACGTAGGTACTTGTAAACGGCAGACTTTACCGATCACTAAGCTGTGCCTTTGCACAGACAGTGCTATGAGCCTGTGCTTGGCCATCGTGTAACGTTCTGTCGTCACGCACGTGCAAACATTCTTTGTTCAGCAAGTGCGTCATAACGTTGGAAGCGACATTCCAGTCAACGCACATCATTTTATCTCTTTACCCCGACTTCACTTTGCAGACCACAACGCACTCTCGAGGTTCAGAGAAGTTTCCAAATAGTAGCCTGTCAAACTTCAATGCCTTGAGTGTTGGCTTATCGTGATGCCATGAGAGACCCTAAGGCCCACATCACCCTGCGTACCTGCCTATCGCAGGTACTACAGTAGAGCCAGGAGGCTGTCGCATCGTTATACAATAGTAAGTCTCAACGATAAAAACAGGTTTGCAGACTTCAGCATCATCACCATATACAGACATCAAGACGTTGAGGTATCCAGGTGACTACCAAGACCTCACAAACATCACATATCAAAAGTAACCTGTAATTATAGAACCAGTTTTACTATCGTGTGCTACTTAGCTAGCTATGAACTTTGATGACCGTTTGTCATATCTCCGTGAATCATTCCCATATTATAGTACATGCATCATGAAAAGAGTGAAAAGTGAAGAGAAACCATGAAGAACTACCAAATTCTCTTAACCGGTGCCGTTGCCGTTGCCGTTGATGTTGCCGTTGATGTTGCCATTGCCGTTGCTGTTGACAGGCGTGTTGGTTGGGGCAGGGGGTGAGGTAGGGGGGTTTGCTGGAGGAACCCTCGGGAACACGCGACGCTCGATGTAGCGGATAGTGTTGTTCGGTCCGAGGGCGAAGAGGGGTTGAGGAGGGGTGTTAGACATGGTGGCTAGACAGTCGAGAGACTTGTGCTAGTTTAGTGTTTTCGGGTTGAAAGTTGACGGATCAGGTGCGAGCCCTTGTGCCACCAGGTCTTGAGGCGGTCGATGATGCGGTGTTTGCGGTAGTCAACTGCTCTCATGCCCTCCGCGTCACGGAAGGTATGGCGGTTGGCGGTGGTAGATGACGTGAAAGCTTGAGCTTCACCGGCACGATCTTGGAGGAGTGAGGTGGTTGACTGCTTGGTCGACTCAGGCGAGGCGAGGTCTTGTGCGTTGGTCTTGCTTCGACCAGCTCGAGTGTTTGATTGGCTGTCAAGCGTAGCTTTGCGAGTTGACGAAAAGCGCTTGCGGAGCGAGAGCCTAGTCTTGCGTGTGGTGTCGTAGTGCTCGTCGTCAGAAGTGTCAGAGGCTGACAGGTGGTCGCGGAAGATAGCTGTAGGAGGTGACAGGGCAGAGGTGGGGTAGCGTTCACCGACTGCGTGTGGCTGGTCGCTGTTGCGGCCAAAGGTGCTGAAGCGGTGATGACGCGCGTGTGCGGTGCTATCGGCCGGTGATCCGAACGGGGAAGCTGTGGCTGTCTGCGCTGTCGAGAAGGAGCTTGTGGTAGACGCGTCAGAGAGTCTGTTGCGGAGGTGGGAAGGGCCTGGGTGAGGAGAGTGTCTCGCAGCAGCTGGACGAGGAAGGGAGATGTCAATAGCGGGGTTTGTTGACGTCGCCCAGGGATAATTCTTGTCTGAATTCCAGGGACGCGTCTCGGTTACTGTGGGCGTAGAAACAAACGACCTGAGAGACCTTCTTACGGAAAGAGCGGACTCCCCTGAGATGCGAAGCTCTTGAGGGCCGACGGTGTGAGAGCGCGGACGGAGAACAGCTGGTGATGGGACTCGCAGCTCTGAGAGCGGAGTCGTCTTGTTGTGTGTTGGTGTGCTCGGTGCGTCGTCGTCCTTGGGGGAGCTGCCTGTATTTGAGTCTGCCTCGCTAGCGCCGTTTACACCAACTCCATCGTCGGGACGGCCTGGACTGCCACATCCCCTCTCCTTGCTTGTGATCTCATCATACAGATCGTCCTCGATAACAACCATGTGCGAGACGCCACGCATGGGGCGAAGTCGAGCAGATGAGCGTTTCTGCGTCGGATGGATCTCGTGGATCTCCTCCAATGCGTGCTTCTCCATCTCCTCCTCAATCGGAAACTCGGCTGGCTCACCGCACTTGTAGTATTCCCTCAACGACGGGAAGATCTCTGAGAGGCGCTGGGTAAGCCCCCCGACAGAAGGTATAGTCAGCCGCTCAATCTCTGCCATGAGCTCCGGTGAACGAGCACGGTGCATCGCGAACAAGTTCAACACGGCGGTAGGCTGCATTGACAACCCTGAGCGCTCTGCTTCATTCAATTCGGCGAGAGAAAGGCGCAGGTCCGTGACATCACCGGCTGATGCAGGCCGTGGACTACCTCTGCTCACCCTCTGCGACGCATTGGGCACCTCTTCCATTGACCTTGAGTAACGAAGGCCAAGGTCCTCGGTCAGACCATCGAACAGATTCATCCGACTAAACCGCATCGAAGGCAAACCGTGTGCCTGTCCGAGCGCGCTACCCACGTTGCTGCCAACAGCACTCCGACGATGCGACGCTCTAGACGACCTTCCCGAGAAGTTGATCGGTTCCTCTCCCGAAGCCCTGACCCCCGACGGCGCGCCGAACGGAAAGCGGCAACTCGAGCTCTTCAGATTGCTGGCACTCGTGTTGAGGCTCGAGTCCTCATGCGACTCCTCCTTCAGGTCAGGCAGATAACGCGCAGGGCCAGGATACCTATATCCGGATAATCTGAGGTCCGTCGTAGTATTCTCTTGGATGTTGGACAAAGGACCCGATCCCAAAGAATTCAAAAGATTTCCAACACCGCTCAGAGGGCGTAGCGACACCTGCTGGAGGCCACCACCGTGGGAGGAAGGCCTATATCCATTCCAATCGAGGTGTGTCGTAGTCTGGCTGTCACGATGGCCAGGCTCTTGGGCTACCGGAAGTCCATCCGCGGAGTCTACACATGAGCCTGAGGAGGTGTCATGGATCGAGTACACAGAGGAGGGCTCCAAAATCGCAGGAACCGGGCTGTCGATTGGTTGCGCAACAGGAGCCGGGCTACTACCGGGCATCTTGGATGGGTTGCAAGCTTTCGGAGTGTCGAAGCTGATAGCTCGCGTCTTCGCAACAGGTACACCTTTTGGCCTGGTCGACGGTGCTTGCGGCGTCTTCTTTACCTCCATGGCGGGTGGCGGTGAGCTGGTCATCTCATTGAGACTGATAACGCCGTCCGTGTCTTGACTCGAACTGGAAGCAGATGTGACCGTCTCATCTGACTTCGGTAGCTCCTCTTGGTCAGTATACTTCCGAGACCTGGCAAAGCGCAACGGTAGTGGACGCATCAAGAACGAGACTGCGGCGTGCACACGTTGGGCCTCCTTGGAAGTGCTTGACTCTCGGGGCGGTACCGCTGGCCCCTGGTGCGTAGTGCCCAGCGTGGATGACGAACCAGATACCGATATCGAGCCTTGCTTCATGCTCTGCTTGGAGCTAGTCCGCAATTTGCTCGCTACGATAGAAAAGCTGGATTCTCGACGCGGTATAGGAGGCTGTTTGCGAAGCATAGCAGAAGAGGGCTTGGACAAGGGTGCCTCCACAATCGTCCTGCCCTGATTCAAGACCACCGTTCCTAGGTTGGACGTTTGGAGTCGAGGCGGAGCTGCGAAACTAGCACGGATAGGGTGCACACCAGTCGCAAAAGAGTGAGTGTCTGCTTCCTTCGATACCGTATCTCGCTGCGGCGCAAAGTCAATGGCGGATGTGGAAGACGCTTTGATGTCTTCTTTCCCTGGCTCGAATGGTATCAAGCCTGAAGAGACATCTGGCAGATCGGTACAAGACTTGAAGGACAGCTCATCGGACGACCCTTGTGCGTGGCTACTTCTGGATCGAAGGGCAAGAGGCAGCGGCTTCATGTCATTTTCTGTTGAAGCATCTGTGTGCTCCTCATACCTGCTCTCGTTGGCCGTCTCGGTTCGTACCAAAGCGTCGGTCTCGTTCTTATAATCAGATCCCTGATATCCTGCAAGAACATCCGACATACCATCGCCGGTACTATTACCAGGACTGAGAGACATGTTCGTGGTAGCATGAATTTTGACACCGGGCTCGTTTTGGAAGCCACCGCTATTGGCCGTTGGTATGGAATGCTGGACTGCGAATTCAAGAGTGGACGAGTCGAGGATGCTAGATCCAGTCTGCGATAAGATACTGTGGCGGTTTTCTCCGCGGTCTGCCGAATGCAATACGGCCCCACGAGGTATATCAGATACAAAGTATTTCTTAACAGGTATATCACACGAATGGGTGACCTCATTAGTCTTCGACAGCGGCAGAGGCCCCGGAGTCAGCGACCTTGGTGTCAGCGACCGTGTTGTCAGCGACTTTGTCGGCGACTGCGGTGTCGGAGACTTCGTCAGTGATTGCGGTGTCGGGGACTTTGGCCTTGATAGTGGTATCGGAGACTTTGGCCTTGATTGTAGTGTTGGAGACTTTGGCCTTGAGGGTTGTGTCGGAGACCTTGGAACGGGGGACTTTCTTGACGGAGATGGAGGCTTGCTCGGGAGCGAGGGAGATGGCCCCGAAGAGGTTACTAACTCCATCGAAGACTGGATATCGCCCGTCGTTGAAGCCTCCAGACCTCTTAGGATCAAATTCCTTGTGATGCGGTGAGCTACGGGGGACGCTGGGAGTTCCGCAATGTCGCTTTCGCGAATGCTTCCGGGCTTTGCGCTCGGCTTCGCGTTCGCGTTCGAGATCGGAATCGAGGTCTTTTCGCAAGTTCTCACGGTAATGGTAGCGATGTTGTCTAGGTGGGGAGACACGACCTCCATCGACATTGGTCGTGCCTCTTGTCCTAAAAAAGAATCACTCTTCAATGTCGCCCCAGCCTGACGAGACTGCTCGACAGTGGTTATCTTTCGGTCTATGAAGCCGTCGGGATCAGCATCCGTCCCTGGGTCCGCAGACGCCACAGGTCCGAGCTGGTCACTCGTGTTGTAGTATGGTACTGAAGGATACTCTTCCTGAATAACAAGGCGGTTCGGGTTGGCGGCTTTGAAGACCTTGTTTCTATCGAGGTTTCGGTGCACTTCCATGGAGCTACCATCTTTCGGAGTTGATGGCATTGTCATGTCGGACGATGGCGGCTCTGATTCGGTACGCAAGTTTGTGTTAAAACTGGACATGGAAGCAGGCGCAGACCTCTTGAGACGAGCTTGTTCAGCAGCGATCCGTTGGCGGTGATCGGCTGGTAAAGGTGGCTGATGTTCATCCTGACGCCTGCGCTCTCTTCGATCTTCTGAACGAGGCTCGCGGGCGGAGTTGCCTGTCATCCTGCGAGACACGAGTTGTCCGAAAGCCGCGTGGTAGGGAGGAAAGTCGTCGTCTTCCACGGGGGGATCTTCAAGGCTCATCGTCGACCGAGAAGCTGGATTCTTGGTCCTCATCTGCCCGGGGCCCTGTCGGGTGTTGAAGCCTCGTTGGTCTTGTCCTTGTCCAGCATGCTGCTGCCGATACGTATGATTTGTGTATCCTGGGTTGCCGTAGCCTTGTGCGTGGCCAGCATAGGGCAGTCGCTGACCGTCGTAGCTCCGCGGCCCTTGGAAGTGTACTCCGCTGTCGTCGCTCAGGGCGGACTGGACCGATCGCGAGTATGGAACAGGCTGCCTGGAACCACCCCCGGCGGGGTGTGCATAGTATGGGCTTGGGTTCGAAGATCGGGACGCTGGCCGAGGGCGCAAGCTGGGAATAGACCTGTTGCTGGAGAGGCCGTACGCTGGGGGCTGTACGGTATTCGTCATCGAGTGCGAGCGATGCGCGTCCCTGTCGCGGTTGTCTCTTCGGTTGTTGAAAGGCGATGATCCGGTGGCGTTCATCATCGTTGGAGACAGCGTGTCGGCATTATACACGGGCCCATGGTGTTGCATTGGCTGGCGCGGTGCAGAAGACGAGGAGGGGTAGGAACGGAAGTGCTGCTTGCTGCCCCGACTGGAAGTGTTGGACGTGGAAGAAACTTGCGACATCCTGCTGGTCGCGCGCGAACGCAGCGGACGTGGTGCGTTGCTCATGGCAGACAAGTCGTCGAACTTAGGACGGCCGATGCTAACGTCGCCTATCTCGGTCTCGGTGCGGAGCATGGACGTGACGCCGCGGTTCAGAGGTTGAAGGTCTGCACTGGGTGCCCGCGATACGGGTTTACCTGATGCTCGGCTCATGGCAGAGACGTTGGAGGCTCGCGAGTTGCGGCCGCCGCCGTTGGGATCCTGATCGAAAAGCGGCATACTGCCGTCGGCTGCGAAAGTCGCTGCGAGGAGAGCAAGCAAAGGTTGCACGCAGGGCGTGAGCGAAGCTGCTGCGGTGGTGGCTCTCCTGATTGCGGCGCTGCCAAAAGATGTGGTAGTTATTGGTATAACCAAAAAGAAGAAGCGATACTGCACAAGGCGGCGAGTATCCAAGAAAGACAAGAGCGGGTGACCTTTACACAACCCTCGCCAACATCTCCGCCAAAAGGAGAAAGCTGTCGAGTGTGGTGCTGTTGTGGGTGGGGGCAAGGTAGAGGAGACGGAGGGAGCTCGGCGGAGACGTTGTTTTGATAGCGAGACTCGCGCCTCCTTCACGTCCATTACGGCAAAGGCTACCCCTACCCCGCCAGCATCTCGCAGAGGAAGGCAGAGACATCAGACACAGAAGGAATACAGAGACGATACAGAAAGGGTCAGTAGCAGAGATGCATATGAGAATGGTCCCTACCTACTTGTGCGTACAGCTTTCCCACACCTACCCCTACGGCGGGCCTACCACCCGTGGCGCCAAACCGGCAGCCAACAGCCAGCAGCTCTTCGCTGCTCCTTCTCGCACCCCAGCTGCCCACCATGCGCAGGACAACGCAGCATCCAACAGCAACCCGCTCCGAAACTGCCCCCAGCAAGCACACCAGTCCACCGCATCACCGACGTCCTCCGCACGACGGCGCCTTCTGCCGCGATGACGTCCGCACACGAAGTTAAAGACATTACACGTTGCTCGTTACCGCGTTACATCTACCAGGGCGAAAATATATACATGCGAAAGCCCCAGGAAGCCATCGAGAACGCTGGGCAGAACCACGGCAAAGACTATGAGATTTGGATTGCGTAATACACAGAAACGCAAAGTCAAAGGGGTATATAGCCTTGCAACGCCAGACAAGAGGACCAAGGACGGGACAAGGGATAACAAAGATCAAACTAGAGGGTATCACTCGGCGATAGGACCTATATCGCCAGATTTCTTCTTGGTGAATAGCCGTTTGAGAGATGAGAAGCTACTTCGCTTGGAAAGTCGCTTAGTCGAGACATCTGAGAACGTGGACAGAGAGGTTGGTGGCCGGCTTGGCATGTCCGCAGCCTTAGGGGTTTGCTCAGGACGATTGAACGTAGGAGAGCTGGCACCTAGTCGACTCGACATGGAACCTTTCGGCGTGCTCAAGTTTCGACTAGGGAAAAGACCAAATTGGGCAGTTTGTCGCGAGGACATGGAGGACACGGAGCGTGGCGATGCGTAGCCCGGTGACACGGCTGAGGCGCCCGACACAGAACAATATGCCGAATCTTTGCCCGTCAAAGGCGGACTGTATTCTCCGTTTTGTGGTTTCGCCGACATGCGTTTCGGTGCTGATGCGCTTTCCTCTGCAGATAGGTTAGATGGCGAAGACACTTTATGCTGGTGCCCCGGAACATGTGTTGCACGACTAGACTCTGCATGCGGTGTCGCTCCGTCACGTTGCTCGTCGTTGCGCCAGGCATCACGGTAGTACCCGGACTGATTTGCCTGACGTCGTACATCGACGTCTGTGTTGGAAACGGCAGATGCAGAAGACGAGTCTTCGCTCCGTTTGGGCGTCTCTGTGGTGGAATCGGATGCGTTTGTGATCTCGGGCTGCTGCTGCTGCTGTTGATGCTGTTGCTGCTGCGGCCTCGCTCGTAAAGTCGAATGTCGCTGGGGTGTGCCAAAGCTGGCAGGCGTCTCCCTACCAGATGATGATGCGCTCATGAATGGCGGACGTTCGGGCGGGGGGGTTGGAAGAGGTTTGTTGTTGGCAAAGTTTCGAAATGGGCGTGCCTCGCGCGAATTGGACGAATTTCGTGAAGATGTACGTGTCGCAATCTAGGGCTGTTAGCGAAGCTCCAGCTGAGAACATAGCCCACGAAGCGGGTTCGAAGCGGATTTTGGCAGCGAACATACCAAACTTCGGCGACTTGCAGCGCCACACCGCTTCTCGATCTCATTGCAATAGCTGCTGACCTGTACGAGCACAACGCCCAGCCTTTCAGCCTTTGCTACGAGGCTTTGCAAGAATTGCGACCAGCCTCCGGTGTTGCCACACATGGCTGAATATATGCGCCCAATATCCTCATTGCGGTATGTCCATTCGTCTCCCACATCGCCTAGGTAGAGATCGAGCTCCTGGTTGGCTTCGCGAAATACGTTGATGTCGATCAGGTAGTCGTTGAGCAGTTGCGACATGCGCCCAATGGTGCGTTCGATTACGATGTTGCCGTCGAGGAGTTGGGCGCGGTATGAGCGGTCTTCGAGGAGGCGATCGAATTCGTTTACGTGTTCCATGGGCACCTTTAGACATTTATGCCGGAACAGCATGTCCTTCATGCTGCTTTCAAGGTCTTCATTCGCCCGCTGCAGAAAACTGTCGAGCTCATTGACATGCTTGAGCAATATGTCGGCGACATCGGCGACGGACTTTTCCAGATGCTGATGCAGCAGGTGGACACCAAAGATGATCTGCGCGACCGTCTTTGTTAGGGGATGAAATTTGCCCTTTGCGTTGCTCCTCCAGTGGCAGTTGTATGTGAAGTTCCACGAGGGCTCAGAGGCATTCTCCTCTCTGCACAGCATTTGCTGTCGCGTCTTCACGCTCTTCTTGGGAATGGCGAAGGGAACGTGCCCCGTTTCGCCAGTGGCGTCGAGCATCGACTCCTCAAAGGGCGCCTGCATGGAGGAGAGAGGGTGTATGGGGAAGGTGGCCGTCATGATGCGTTTGTCTCGCTCGTCTTGCCATTCGTAGGAGTCGCGGTTGTCGAAGCTGCGACGGCCCCTCTGCGATAAGCGTCGAAAAGGAACCATGGCGAGTAGCGAGTGGATGCTACTCCAGCTCGGATTATGGTGCTACAGAAGCCAAAGCCAATGCAAGCCCAAACTCGCAGTTCAAGGATATGGGCTGTGCATAAGCACGAAACACTGGGTTGTCGAGGCCGGGGCGCTGGAGGGTGTATCGTCGTCGGGCCTTCTTAAAGACGCATGGTGCAGGATGGCATTGTGTGTGCAGAGTCTACGCCGCAGGGGATGGAAATGTTGAAGGTGCCGGAGATGGCGGAAGGAAGACTGGACACGGTCCCAAGGTTCAAGGACCCCTTCGGTTCGTCAGTCATCAGGTCACAGGTCACAGATCAGCCTGGGATCTGGCACAGAGACGGGGGGTTTCTGGTCGCCAGGAGGTCTGCAGGTAGTGCAGGAGGCTTGCCCGCAAGCAGGCTGGCGGATTCCTTAGTGCCCGAGACGGTTGGTATCCAGAGGCAGGGCGGGGAAGCCATGGCTACTCTCCACCATACAGCCTTCACGACTAGGAACAGACGGGCAAGCCTCAAACAAGAATAAACTTTGGCAGTGCCTATCCCCAGCGGCGCCCTTTACTACAGATATCCGTTTTCTAGACCGCCCGCGGCCTTTAGCTGGCTGCAACGTGTCGAGCAGGTGATTTGGCGGTTTGGCATTTTGGCCGTGGCATCCTCACTGTGTGCGCTAGAAGACGCATTGCAGCCGCCAGCAACACACCCAGGAACGCCCCCAAGCTTTCTTATGGCTGCCCTGAGCGACGATCCCGCCATGTCGCCGTTTTCCAACTCGGCCAGGTCAAGTGCCGAGGCTTATCATATCCCGATTGATGTTTTAGCTGCCAAATGGCGCAACCCATAGCAGACGTCATGAATGGGCTCCAACGTGAGTTTACCAAGCGCCACGGTTCCTGGCCGATCTCCGCGGGAAGCTATGGATCCCAAGCTTTGGGATGCACGCGCATAACTACAAACTTGTGCTTGTGCCTGGCAAGCATATTACGGATCACGAGCATCCAATCACAGTGCACGCGATCGGCAAGCTTCACCCAGCGACCATCACTTCTTCCATCTACCAACCCGTGCAACATGCTTCTGGCGCTGGGCTAGAGAGCGGCTGGCAGCCACCAACAATAGAAAGTTTGATCAAGATGCAGACCAACGTTACAAGAAACAACGGCGCGAACTACACTCTTGCAACGCTACAGTAGCAAACCACGAAACTCGTGTCCTCCCATCCCGCCGCCGCAACCCGAACCCGACGAACGAGATGTAGCTGTGCCGGACATTATACGCCGCGAAATGCGACTCATCCCGGATCGGATCAGATGGGTTTGAAGACTGCAGAACGATCCGCGCACACATACGCGATGGGCAGGACAATACTGGCGGAAGTCGTCAGCGGCTTTTCTTGCCGACAGCGCCAGGACCAGATGCTGCGCGAGTCGTACAAGCCTGCAGGAATGTCAACTCGGAGTGTGAGCAAAGTCAAAGTCATCAAACTACACGCGCAGATTGGGCAATTGGAGACGCCAGACTCGTTACTTTTTGAGTTGTTGCCATCCACGCGCGATACTGGCAGCGCAGAGTCGAGACGACGCCGGTTGAGGTCAGACAATACGAGGGCATACAAGTCCCATCACCCAGCATCGCTTTGGATCTATGAATGGGGTTCTCTTACAACTATATTGACATGGGTTATAGCATCGGAAGCCGAGTAATATCGAGCGATCATAACGCCTCCACCCACGCCTATGTCCGATTACCAGCCCCTCCATCGGGCCCAGACATCCACGACCGTATCTCCACCCGCGTCCGAGTCGACCACAAGATACCACCCGAACCCAGCGCCAGTCACACAAGCATGGTTTGGCCAAACCATAACCTTATCCCCGATCGTCAACTCGTTACATTCGCTCCTATCGCCCTCCCAGGTCAAGATACCATGCTCTTGGCTGATGCGTCCAACGATCCATCCCGTCTTTCCCTCTCGCTCGTCGTATATGTGCTTAGCGGAAGCATTGCCTAGTGCAGGCGTGACAATACCCCATCCCGGGTAGGACTTGCAAGGTTCGCGACCCATCGCTAGAGAGCCAGCGGATACTAGAGCTTCAGGCTTCGATCGCTCATTGTATACACTTGTTACTTCGAGCAACATCCGGATACCAATGTTAGATTTGGAGAGAGGCTGGAAGGACGACGTGGCTCCACTAGATGAAGTCGATGGCCTAGCATGTGTTGCGACTTGTTGGCAGTCTAGCAGCGGGTATACCCCTGCATGCAGCTCGACAACGTGGTCTTTCTGCAGACGTCGGAGCACGTCTTGGAACTCTTGGACTTTGGGGCTGGAGCTGGACAGCATGTTCTGTGCTGCTGTCGCGGTGGGTGTTGCGCCCACACTCAGTACCAACTTTCCATCAAAGCTCTCTGGGACAGCCTTGATTGCTGTTTCTAAGCCCGCCAGTTCCTCGATTAGACCATTAGCGGCATCATCTTCTGAGGATCCCCCATACGAGTGTCCGAAATGCGAGTAGAACCCTTGCAGGAAGCATCCAGAAGTTGGCTCCTGGCTCTTCTCTACTACTGTCTTGACAAGCGATGGGAAAGCCGGAGAGGAAGTCTTGATGCCAGCGCGTTCATAGCCCGTGTCGATTTTGATGAAGACTCCTATCTCCAGCACCGTGTCAGAGGCAGCGACTCGCTCGTGGAACTTGAGAAAAGCCGCCTCGTTGTCGATGATGACACTGACAGATCTCGGCTGCAATGTTGAGGCCAGGGAAATGAGACGCGGGATACCAGATTGAGGGACCGGTACACCGTAAAGTACCTTGAGAGCAAACGTCAGTGGTGCCTTCTTTATTGTGATATAAGACATACAGTAGCTTCCCTTCCCACACCCTGCGCATAGCACAAGTACGGCAACAAATTCTCCGCCTCCGCAATCGTACTAACGATGAAATTCGCCGGTTGGCTCTGCTCCACGCCTACTTGCATCTGAGAAAGCTCAAGCGTCTTGTGGCTTTTGACGTGGGCGCGAAACCCTACTTTGAGCTCCGCACAAATGTTGAGCATCGCATCGCAGTTTCGTCGTATAATGGCGCGGTCGAGCACGATGGCTGGTGTGGGAAGGTCTTTGAGCTTTTGGCCCAAGAATTGTGATAATAGGGAGGCCCGTGAAGGGAGCGGGTAGAAGGGGAGCGGGTTGATGTCCGCCATCTTGGAACTTGAGGCGGTGTTCAGATTGAGTGTCCGAGATAGCTGGTGTTGATGTTGTTACTCTTTTGATTAAGCTGTCGGAGCGCTTTATATATCCTGAATCAACACCGTCGCATAGATTTTCTAGATCAGGCACCCAGTTGTGAGTCAATCTCCTCCTTCTCGGCGCAAGACCAGATAGAATCTTTCCCTCACTTTGTTGTGGTGGTGCTTATCGGCCGTAGGCGTTAGCCGCCGGAGAAAGAATGTGCGGTGCGGATCGGCCGCGCAGCTTCGTCGAACAGGAGCACGGTTTTGCAAGGCCGCGGATGGTCAGAGGTTCAGTTGAGTGGTATCCTGGGGGTAATAAGATATACTATCGTCGCGATGCTATCTCGAACGGGCTCGATGCGCAATAAGCTGGGGGTAATAGCTTGACGTTGGGTGCGGATCTCGGCGTTAGTACGGAGTGGGGTGCTGCATCGCGACGGGCCCAATAGACAAGCGACTGATAGGCGATAACACACATGCTCATTGATCAAGATGTACGATTTGGATTGATGGGGTGATACGAGGTACCGAAAGTCGTTATAGTCTGGGAAAAACAGCTGCGAACCTCCAGGGCATGATCTAGCGTGTAGACCGCCGAAACCCTTCCTAAGCGCCCGGTCCTGGCCACACACTACTCAACCTCCTCCTTCTTCCCGTCATTGCACTTCCTGGACTCACACTACGAGTACCCATGGCATTCGCTGCGAAACTGTTTTCGAGGATAGCGTCTTCAAGGTCATCCTCCTCTTCGATTCTATGCACTACGTCCTCTGGTGGCTCCTCTTCAAACACGGCCTGCAAATCAGCGTGTGGACTCAATTGCTTCCAGCTCCTCCAGAAACCGATGTCTTGTAGCCATGTTGTGCGTTTGGAGGGTCCAGGGCCGTTGATGCTGAGGTGGCGACGGGGCTTCCACAGATACCTACGCTCATAGTAGTTGATGGCGAGGAGAATAGGGAAGTTCGAGATACGTATCGCTGAGACGTTGATCTTGTGGAACCAGCGGGGCGAAAGTATGAACTTGAGAGGGAGTAGAATGATGAACGCCAATAGGTTAAGGGGTGGGCGGTAGGCGAATAGCGAATCGGACTTGACACCTTCGAAAGTGAGCACGGCGCGGCGGAATTGGATTTCGGCCGTCGCATCTGCTGCGATCTTGCTGAACGTATTGGACAGAATCGAGACGAGGACTGTCAAGAATAGCGTGTTACCCAGGAAAGCATAGATCACCATCAGGGTAGGACCGAGAATCTCATGGAACCCAGGAGCTTCATCGATGCCTTGGCCATCCAGACCGAACCAGATCCATAGCATCCATTTGGAGATAGTGATGGAGTTTGGTGAGTCTTCGTAGCCGACTTCCGGGTTGCTGATGCTCAGCCATTTGAGCGCCAAGAGGAAGCCGCCAAAGCACCATACAGCGATCAGACTCAGTGCTGTGAACTCCTTGACCATCGCCCTCAGAGCAATGAACAGCATGTTCTCGGGCATAAGGTTGAATGCGATACGTGGGAACAATATTGGGGATGCGACAGCAAGAACGTCAAGGGCTTGTCTACCCGTTTCATCTTGATTCGTTATCCACCCATGGCACCGCATGCCGAGATAGATGAGAAATATGCCGGCGAATGTGACGTCCAGGAAAGCCCAAAGTTCTTGTGTATGTACCTCCCAACCGTGCTCGAGGCATGATATGAGTTCGTCTAGTACCCAGCCGCTGCCGTAGAGTAAGAATGTGATCTCGGCAATAGTCAAGTAGTGATCTTG